ACAGAGAATCACCAGCATTTAAGGAAGCTGCTCATTTTCACAGCTAATAACTCAGAACTCAAACCTGGACAGTGTGGCTGCAGAGTCTGTAATGATACTGCTTCTTGGACTGACCATCAAGGAACAGCGAAGCTCCAAAGGAAAAAGAAGCAGAGACAGACAGCAGATTAGAAGAGTCAACAAAATTTTAGAAGAAGAAAAGAAGACAAATGAGAAGTAACTGACTTAGAGGATGCTGAGTGTTGCAGATGGCAAGCCACTGAAGAATCCCCTCCAAAATGGAACCATTGGAAATACCAGTTTCCTCTCAAGTTGTAAGCACGAGGAAGGGCTGAAATCAGGAAATACTGGTCTCCCTCCCCAAGGCAAGCAACTGCTGCACCACCACCCAGGTAGAAGACTGGAGGTTTACTCTTCGGACAGGATGAATAAGAGCCTCTAGACATGGGTCATCAGGGTACCACTGAAGACAAGGAAGTGTTACCATTTAGAGAGATTAAGTGAAACTGCATACAGAAGGGAGAGCCTCCAGCCCTCTCCCACCATAAGGCTCCCAGAATAACAGCCAGGCTTATGCCACCTAAGAGGAGGCCTGGAGAAAGATCTACAGACTCTGACCATATCCCACAGAATATGACAGGTCCATCATCCTACAGTCATGGCTCTCAGAATGTGGTCCCAGACCAAGAGTAGCATCACAAGGGAACTTGTCAGAAATATGAGTTATCATGCCCATGCCAGACCTAATGAAACAGAAATTCTGGGGTGAGGTCCAAAAACTAGTGTTTTAACAAGGCCACCAGGTGATTCTGAAGCTCACTGAAGTTTGAGAACCACCGCCCGCCAGGGAGGCCCACTAGTCAATAAAACGTCTCACACCAAAAAGCTTCCAACCAGTTTTTCAGTATCTGTTTATTTGAAAAAACACTGTGGGGTCACCAGAAAACTGGAGAAAGACTGACAAGAAAGAGAGACAAAACAGATTTCCCAGAGCAGCTCTGGTGGCAAGTAGTGAAATGTGCAGAGCCTGGTTTGCGTGCCCTTTCCCTGGTCCCACCATCATATTGCTTCGGAGATACCCCCTGGGCTCTACAATATAGTTTCAAAATGAGTAAAATAAATGCTCTCTACAGTCCCGTCCAGCTCTAGCCCATGCCTTTATACTAGTCCTTCCCACCGGAGGCTTTTTATTAAAGAGAGAGGAAAAAAAGATATATACTGGTCCTTATGTTCTAGATCCTTGAAACTAACATAGCAATTTAGACTGACCGTTTCAGTTGGAACTATGTCTGATTTTTTTTTTTTTTTTTTTTTTTTTTTTGAGACAGGGTCTCACTCTGTTGTTCAGGCTACCTTCCAGGCTCAAGTGATCCTCCCACCTCAGCCTCCTAAGTAGCTAAGACTAAAGGTACACACCACTACAGCTAAATTTTTGTCGAGACGGGGTTTCACCATGTTGCCCAAGCTAGTCTCAAACTCCTGAGTTGAAAGCAAGCCACCTGCCTCAGCCTCCCAAAGTACTGGGATCACAGGCATGAGCCACTGCATCCAGCCATGTCTGATAGTTTACTTGTCCCTTTGAATGAACAAGCAATGTTCTGCTACAAGATTACTATAGTCAGGATCTGCATTAAATGCAGAGGCAAAATGTACTGTTAATACTTTATGTAGAAATATCTGTGACCATCCCACTATGCCATGTCTCCTTTCTGCTTCCCTGTGTCTCACAAGAGTTCCCTGGTTTACCCTTACAGCCTAAATCTTTTTTTTTTTTTTCCCCAATAGAGACAGAGTTTTGCCATGTTGCCCAGTCTAGACTCAAACTCCTGGGCTCAAGTCATCCACTCACATTGGCCTCCCAAAGTGCTGGGATTACAGGTGTGAGCCACAGTGCCCAGGCTACAGCCTAAATTTTAATCTAAAAAATTTCCCCTATTACTGCTTTTCACTAGTCTCTATTTACACCAAGTGTTACTGCCACAATCAGATCATTTTTCTGCTTACAAATCTCTAGTGGCCTTAACATCTTCCACCATGTAATCACTGTGGACAAAAACTTCTCATTTACTTTTACTTCCTCTGCCTTCTTTAGTCCAGCTCATTTTTCTCAGTTCGCTTGGCTCCTCTTTCCCATCTGAGAAGATCTTGCCCTTTCTCAGGTCACTTAATTCCTCTCTTGGAAAAACAAACTCCTTCAGGAGGGGTTTAGAATGATGAAAAGGGCTGAGCGCGGTGGCTCATGCCTGTAATCCCAGCACTCTGGGAGGCCAAGGCGGGTGGATCACAAGGTCAGGAGTTCAAAACCAGCCTGGCCAACATACTGAAACCCTGTTTCTACTAAAAACACACACACAAAAAAAATTAGCTGGGCGTGGTTGTGGGCGCCTGTAGTCCCAGTTACCTGGGAGGCTAAAGCAGGAGAATCACTTAAACCTAGGAGGTAGAGGTTGCAGGGAACCGAGATTGTGCCAATACGCTCCAGCCTGGTGATACAGTGAGATTCCGTCTCAAAAAAAAAAAAAAAAAAAAGATGAAAACATTTTGCTAGGTATAACGCAAAGAGCACCACAAATTTTCTCATTTAATCTTCACACTAATGCTGTGAATTCGAAATCATCCCTATTTTTACATTTGGAAAACGGAGGCTTACAGAGATTAAGTAACCTGCCCAAGGTTACAACTAGGATTTTAATCCAAATCCTTCTGACTTCAAAGCCATACTCAACCATCCTACTCTACCATCTCTAGAGGTCTGACTTAAATACGTGGAAGAAGAAAAGTTTCCCTAACCATGTAGAAAATAAGAAGAGCAGGCCGGGTGTGGTGGCTCACGCTGTAATCCTGGCACTTTTGGAGGCTGAGACGGGTGGATTGTTGGAGCTCAGGAGTTCAAGACCAGCCTGGGCAACACGGTGAAACCCCGTCTCTACTATAAATAGAAAAAAATTACCCAGGTGTGGTGGTATGTGTACTGGGGAGGCTGAGGCAGGAGAATCACTTGAACATAGGAGAGGGAGGTTGTAGTGAGCCAAGATGGCCCCACTGTAGCCTGGGTGACAGAGCGAGACTCCGTCTCAAAAAAAAGAAAATAAGAACAAAAGGATCTCTGCATAGTTTTGTTCTCTCTCTCTCTCTCTCTCTCTCTCTGTGTGTGTGTGTGTGTGTGTGTGTGTGTGTGAGAGAGAGAGAGAGAGAGAGAGAGAGAGAGAGAGAGAGAGAGAAATAGGAGAAATAGAGTCTTGCTCTGTTGCCCAGGCTGAAGTGCAGTGGTGTGATTACAACTCACTGCAGGCTTCAACCTTCCAGGCTCAAGGGATCCTCCCACCTCAGTCTCCTGATAGCTGGGACTACAGGCACAGAGCACCATGCGCAGCCAATTTTTTATTATTTGTAGAGACAGGGTCTCCCTACATAGCCCAGGCTGGTCTCCAGCTCCCCGGCTCAAGTGATCCTCTCGCCTCTCAAAGTGCTGGGATTATAGGTGTGAGCCACCTCGCCTGGCCTGCTTGTTTTTTAAACAGAGATCACTACAGATGCTCAGCGCTTTCCAGCCAAAGCCCAACAGGGAGCCCCACTCATTACTTCCCCAACCGGACGGCTCCACATGGTTCAGTGGCTTGGCCAGGGAGCAGCACAGTACGCTTCTTCCACATGAAAGGACTCAGGCACAGGAGGGAGGCTGGCTCTTGCGACCAGAATGCTGGTGGGGAACAGGTGGTCAAGATATCTTTCCCTCTTAATGTCAGTCAGCATCCCTCTCCCCATGCAGCCAAGAGGCCCAGCCCCAGGGACCTTTGTGGTGGTGGTGGTGGTGGTGGTGAGTGGTGCCTTCAGGTATGGGGCAGGGTGGCTTCCCACCTCAAAACATTTCCAGATCAGATTTTAAAAGCTCTTAAGAGACAAAGCAGCAATTCAAAAATTAAGGGCAGGCAATGACTCCTAAGGAGAAGCCTTCCCTTCTACAACAGCACAGCCAACTTCAAGAGGCACAAAGAAATTTCTGTGGTGACAAGAAAAGGTGCTTCAGTGGTGCCCATTAGCACGTGGGGCCGCCACCGCCCCTGCCTCCATAGAAGATAAGTCTATCTTCTCTTGTCCGTATGACAGAAAAGGGAGGCTGTCACCCCAATGTCTCCCACTCCGAGGGCCTAAGCGGCGCACCTCTCAACCTTTCCTTCCAAGGGCTGAAAGGCTGTCCTCTTCCTCTCCCCACTCGGCCCCTTTCCCGTTCTCCTGCTTGGCACCTCGCTCCCCACTACTCGGCCCCCCTCAAACCTCTTCTTCCCACGCGTCTCCCTGCTGACCTCTCTTTCCCTGTCCCCCGCCCCTTTTTACTGCCCGCTCGACCCCTTTCACCTCAGCCCGCTGCTGCCCAGCCCGCGGTACCTTGAGGGTCACGTCGCACAGCTTGCCTTGCCGCCGGATCTCCTCCATGACTCCGTAGCCGCGACTGGGCAACTCGGACACCGAGAAGTGCACCAGATCCTCCAGCTCCTCTGCACCGTCCTCCACCATCTTCCCCGGCCGCCGCAACTGCGCAGGCCTCGCCGGCCGGCTACACACTAACCAGGGCGGGGCGAGAGCGCACGCCGCTAGCAGCTCCGAGCGCGGAGCGACAATCGGACGGGCCTCCGCGGCCGCCGTAGTTGAAACTCCTCTGCGCCGGAAGCCCCGCCGCCCCGCTTCCTGGTTCGTGTGCAGCCTTCGTTCCCTCGCTACCCCGACCTTCGCTTCGCGCATGCATCTGCTTAGTTCTTTCTAGATCAATCGGCCTCATCTCTCGTCTTCCCAATTCGGCCATGACCTCACCCGTATCCTCGACGTAGGACCTCGGACTTCATTTCCGCCACCCTCGAAACTTCCGGAATCCCCGGAAGCGACCCGTTGCCATGGCCACCGTGTACACAGCCAGCCAGCCCCGCGTGGGGAGTGCAGGTGGCTTCGCTTGCAGCTTCGCGTCCCCGGAGCGTCGCTGCCTGGTAAACGGTGAGCAAGGGCTGCGCGCCGGTGGGAGTCGGGAGACGGGAGACCGTGGCTGGAGTCCAAACACCGCTCTATCTGGAGGTTCCCAGCTTGGGCCCCTCATCTCTGAAACCCAGGCGAAGGAAGGCGAGACATCGCGGGAGTCCTTTCAGCCTGGCCACGACTTACGGTCTTCAGAGCTAATGTTCATTGGTCCCACAAAGGGATCCCACGTCGCACCCAGGACATTGAAGCCGTGAGGCAGGGAGCCGGAGGTCGTCTGGATTCTTCTGCACTAGTCGGTTTTCGAACTAGAGGGGGTTTAGGGATCACCAGTCCGAGTCCTACTCTTTACAGATTGAGGAAACCGCTCCCGAGAGGGACCGGAATGGGTCCAAGGCCTATTGCCCCCCAGGCTCTATGCGGGGGTTCGGCAAATTTAGTGAGGAAAAGGAGAAAGGTCAGTTTTGCCTGAGTCCCAGTCTTGTTCAGCCAAGGCCAGGTGCAGTTGGATCCAGCGTTTGGGGTTTGGGCGTTGCTGCTGCCACTACGGTAGCTATGAGGGTTCCCCATGACAGTCCCTGATCTGTACGGGAAGATAGGGACCCACCTGGTGCCTACCGCCCCACCAAACGTTCCCTTTCTCTTGTCGAGTCTTCATGGGTGCTTGTTGCCAATTCTGTTCATTCCCACTCAAAACAAATGAAGCAACCTCGAGCGTCTTTTTCCTGGTGGCCATTCAGAGACTTGCTTGGTTATAACAAATATCAAAGGGTGGTTCCCCAAGGAGAGGCATTTCCCACAAGGTCCCGAGGGAGAAGGAGGGGGGCGGCCGGGGGCAGTGGCTCACGCCTGTGATCCTGGCACTTTGGGAGGCCGAGGTGGGTGGATTGCTTGAGCTCAAGACCAGCCTGGATAACATGGGGAAACCCTGTCTCTATAAAAAATACAAAAATTTTCTGGGCATGGTGGTGCACGCCTGTAGTTCTGGCTGCTTGTGGGGGCCGAATTGGGAGGATCACTTGAATCCAGGAGATGAAGGCTGCAGTGAGCTATATTGTGCCACTGCACTCCAGCCTAGGTGACAGAGTGAGACTCTGTCTAAAAAAAAAAAAAAAAAAAAAGAGTGTGGTGAGGGGCTGAACATAGATTTTTGCACCTGGAAACCAAGTGTCCTCCTGGAAGTGCTGTGTGCTTGGGTTGGAGTTGTCATGGAAGGGGAGTGACATCATATGTCTCTTGGGACTCTCTCAGTAGTGATTGAAGATGGAACCATATATGGAGATTCTGCTGCCCTCTGACTTCCAGCCATTACGATCACCACCCACTACCATTTCCTGAACACCTCCTCTGTGCTGGGCTCTGCCTTGGACAGTGTGGGGGGATTCAGAAGAGATAAAATCACAATCCTTGCCTTAATTTGGGAACTGAAACCCACTCAAATGGAGCGGCGTAAGAATAGTGACAAGCAGTATTTCAGTAAGTGCAAGATGGCATGGGGTCCCCCCCAAATGTTTGGGTGTTAAGGGGCAGCTGAGTAGCAGGCTCACAAGACAAGTGTACAAAGGAAGACTTATTGCAGGTGGATATAGCTCCTGGCATGCTTGGATCCATGGTGTCAGCATGGGGAGGGCCTTGGGAAGCGTACACAGGGTGACTGCATGTACATGTGCATGTTGCCAGGGCAGAGAAGGGCCAAGCTCTGGAGGGAGAGTGATGCTTTTGTTTTGTTTCGTTGAGACAGAGTCTCACTCTGTCAGCTAGGCTGGAGAGCAGTGTTGCACCATCACTGCTCAAGTGATCTTCCTGCTTAAGCCTCCTGAGTAACTGGGACCACATGCATGCATCACCACACTTAGCAGATTTTTAAAATTTTTTGTAGAAACAAGGTCTTGCCCAGGCTGGTCTCTAATTCCTGGCCTCAAGCGATCCTTCCACTTTGGCCTCCCAAAGTGTTGCATTTACAGGCGTGAGCCACCATGCCCGGCTGAGGTTGATGCTCTGAACTGGCCCATGCTACCCTTGTGCAGGGGCTTCAGGGAGGGAGGCCTGGGCACCTGCTCCCAGAGCGCCCCTGCTTTTTCATGGTCTCTTTCGGAGCATACCCTGGATGGCATCTGAACTTCCCTGGGCAGGAGAATGGGCCCTTGGATGTGAAGAGTGATTCCCCAAGCTTTAGAAATTGAGTGTGAGTGTGAGGCTGAGGTGGGTGGATTGCTTGAACCCAGAGTTTAAGACCAACCTGAGCAACATGTTGAAACTCCATCTCTACAAAAATGCAAAACATCAGTCTAGTGTGGTGGCATGCACCTGTCCTCCCAGCTACCCTGGAAGTTGAGGTTGGAGGATTGCTTGAGCCTGGGAGACAGAGGCTGCAGTGAGCTGAAAACATACCAGTGTACTCTAGCCTGGGAGACACAGTGAAACTCTGCCTCAAAAATAATAAATTAAATAATAAATTAATTAAAATGGAATAACTTTTGTCAGGTAATACCCATTGGACCTCTCTTAGATAATTTTATATAAAATGTTACCATTATTTAAAGTGCTTTTTAATAAAGCAAGATAATCTAATTAAAAGAAGTCCCTGTTATACATGAGGGTTTTTTTTTAATAGTTAAGGTCTTAAAAGTTAGTTTTTATTTTGTTTTGTTTTAGACTGAGTCTTGCTCTTTCACCCAGGCTGCAGTGCAGTGGCATGATCTTGGCTCACTACAACCTCCACCTTCTAGATTCAAGTGATTCTCCCATCTCAGCCTACCTAGCAGCTGAGATTATGGGCACCCACCACCACACCCAGCTAATTTTTGTTTGTTTGTCTGTTTGTTTGTTTGTTGTTGTTGTTGTTGTTGTTGTTGTTTTTTTGAGACGGAGTTTCACTCTTGTTACCCAGGCTGGAGTGCAATGGCGCGATCTCGGCTCACTGCAACCTCCGCCTCCTGGGCTCAGGCAATTCTCCTGCCTCAGCCTCCTGAGTAGCTGGGATGACAGGCACGCGCCACCATGCCCAGCTAATTTTTTGCACTTTTAGTAGAGACGGGGTTTCACCATGTTGACCAGGATGGTCTCGATCTCTCGACCTCGTGATCCACCCGCCTCGGCCTCCCAAAGTGCTGGGATTACAGGCTTGAGCCACCGCGCCCGGCCTGTTTGTTTGTTTTTGAGATGGAGTCTCACACTGTCACCTAGGCTGTAGTGCAGTGGCGTGATCTCGGTTCACTGCAATCTCTGCCTCCTGGGTTCAAGCAATTCTCCTGTCTCAGCCTCCTGAGTAGTTGGGACTACAGATGTGCGCCACCATGCCCAGCTAATTTTTTTGTATCTTTAGTAGAGATGGGGTTTCCCCATGTTGGCCAGGATGGTCTTGATCTCCTGATCTTGTGATCCACCCCCTCCTTGGTCTCCCAAAGTGCTGGGATTACAGTTGTGAGCCACTGCTTCCGTCCACCTGGCTAATTTTTGTATTCTTTGCAGAGATGGGGTTTCGTCATGTTGCCCAGGCTGGTTTCAAACTCCTGGACTCAAGAGATCTGTCCACTTTGGCCTCCCAAAGTGCTAGGATTACGGTGTTAGCCACCGCACCGAGCCAAAAGTTAGTTTTTTAAAAGCCAAGCCATGCACCTGTAGTCTCAGCTACGTGGAAGGTTAAGAGAATCACTTGAGCTCAGAAGTTCAAGGGCAGACTAGGCAACATAAAGAAACCCTTGTCTCTAAAAATAAAAAAATAAAATGAATGTTAATTTTTAAAATATTGAACATTGCTGGGCATGCCTATAATCCCAGCACTTTGGAAGTCATTGCAGGAGGATCATTTGAGACTAGGAGTTCAAGACCAGCCTAGGCAACATAGTAAGACACCATCTCTACAAAAAAGGTAAGAAAATTAGCTGGGCACAGTGGAATGCACCTATATTCCCAGGATCACTTGAGCCCAAGGGGTCAAGGCTGCATTGAGCCATGATTGTACCACTGCACTCCAACCTGGGTGACAGAGTGAGAGTCTGTCTTGAAAAAATATATATGTGTGTGTGTATATATTTATATGTCTTACGTCTTCCTTTGTGTATATATATATATGTGTGTGGGTGTGTGTCTTATGTATGTATGTATGTATATATATATATATGTCTTATGTCTTCCTTTATACTACTATACATATGTGCACATGCATGCACACACACACACATTGAAAGAAAATGATGACAATTTAGTTAGGTTTTAGGAGAGCAAGAGGAGGTAGGGGACTGTCTGTGATATTTTTTCTCAATATAGTAAGAGAAGAAAGAATATTTGATTATGGACCAAGTATTCTTCTAGGGCATCTACTTCTGATCTAGTGAGTCTGTCAGAGGAAAGGATGCTGTATCTGAAGCCAGGTAAGTTAATGAGAAGAAAATTAGTTCTAATGTATTTCATAGTAAATATTTTAGGAGAAAATATAAAAGAAGGAACGCGTCTAAGTGGACTTATCATCTTAAATGCAGAACATTTCTAGAAATGACATCTAAGATTAGGCCACTAAAGGAAGCATTCTTTTTACTTTGTATCGTGGTTTCTCTGGGATCATTGGTGGAAGATGGCAGAGCAGCCTGTGAAGCAGGAAGGGCGTGTATCTGTTGAGCAGTGTCTTGTGGGTGGGACACTGAAATGGTGAGGAGTGAAAAGGAAAACTGGCTTTCAGGGAGAGAGGGAAATGGACTGCTCGTCACTCTTTCTGATCTTCTTAATGAATGACCCCTCTCCTCTACTTGTTATTTGATAATGACTACTCAAAATTTCATTGTTCCCTTCTTTTTAGCTAGAATGTGTACTAGGAAAAAAGTTCACGCATTTGTCCGTGTCAAACCGACTGATGTCTTTGCTCATGAAATGATCAGATATGGAGATGACAATAAAGTAAGTGCGATGTGTTTGCCTTCACCTGACTGGCCTCTCTGTCCCACCTGGCTATAGTGTGACTGTATTTTCAAATGACCTTTGAAGGACCAAGACAGAATTGGACAGGATCCAATCAAGTACAAACTACCCCCTCACAATGCTGTTAATTAGGAAATTCATAAAAATTCCATCTTTAATTGTCTTTTAATGATCTTACTTTTTTTTTTTTGAGATGGAGTTTCGCTCTTGTTACCCAGGCTGGAGTGCAATGGCGGGATCTCGGCTCACCGCAACCTCCGCCTCCTGGGTTCAGGCAATTCTCCTGCCTCAGCCTCCTGAGTAGCTGGGATGACAGGCACGCACCACCATGCCCAGCTAATTCTTTTGTATTTTTAGTAGAGACAGGGTTTCACCATGTTGGCCAGGATGGTCTCGATCTCTTGACCTCGTGATCCACCCGCCTTGGTCTCCCAAAGTGCTGGGATTACAGGCGTGAGCCACCGCGCCCGGCCTTGATCTTACCTTTAATAAATTAATAAGTTTACCTTTACCCTCGTATCTGACACAGAAAAATGGACATTTGTTCACATTCATAAAGCTTTCTAGTGTTTGAGGGGTCATTGTATAATCTCCCAAGGGGTACAGTAAGAATATCTTGAGTTCATTACAAGGGGAAACTGCTCAAGCCTCAGAGGTCCCAGCAGTCAGAAAAGAGCTTACTTGCAGCCCTGTGAACTGTGTCCTGCTGGGCATGGTTTTCAACAAACGTTGAAAACTTAATTCACACTTAATGTGTGAATGAACCAAGTCTTTTTTTCTTGATTTTAATTTTTCTCTGAAGCCAGGTATGGCTCTTGCATTAGGGCAGTCAGGGTAAGATTTCAGCAAGAGTTTTATATCAGAAGTTTCCAATAGAAGATTGGAATCTACCATTACCTTACCCAGTATGTCCTTAAGCCAGATGCTACCACAGTGGCTTACATACTGTGAAGGGGCATGCATCTAAAAATCTGCTGATTACAAGTACCCTGGGCACCCTCAATTTACTCTTAATTCCAATGAGTAACTGTGTCTGAGAAGTCCATAGCCTTCTCTGTGGCTGTCATTTAGTCATCACTCACATTGGCCCATAGTGTGGAAGTAGGTGCTCACAATGCAGAGCTGAGGGAGGCCTCACGCAGTAACCAGAGTGATGAGGCTGGATCCCAGGCCTCTGTCACCAGGCTCACTGCTCCCTCTGGCTTAATTCAAGGCCTCCCTATGCTTGTGGAATCTATCTAAATCTTGTTTAATAAAAACATGATAAATTTGATTGATCTCATATCATAGATGGGGGAACCAAGACAGATAGGACCCTGTGAACTAGGGTTAGAGGTACTAAAACTAGCAAGTGCTCCAGCCTCCTGATCCTTCCACCTCCCTGCAGCAGCTCCCTTCTCCCATGCCAAATAATTCGTCTGGAATATCAGTCCCTACATGGGAGTCCCTGTTCATCCTGCATTTCACTTCCTCTGTTCCCTCCAGGTGAGGTCTCAGCTATCAGTGATTTTTTTATACCAGTTTCTGAACAAATAACATTTTTTTTCTTTCTCACTCTTTTTTCCTAGACCATTGACATTCACTTAAAAAAGGACATTCGGAGAGGAGTTGTCAATAACCAACAGACAGACTGGTCATTCAAGTTGGATGGAGTTCTTCACGATGCCTCCCAGGACTTGGTTTATGAGACAGTTGCAAAGGATGTGGTTTCTCAGGCCCTCGATGGCTATAATGGTAACTTAATTAATTAACTGTTATCTTATGTAAGAACCTGAGGAGCCCTTCCTGCAGTAAGAGATGCAAATATTTTATGGTGAATAAAATAAAAGCTCACTTACTATCATTTGTATGCTTATTTGTCTGTCTCCATGTTCTTACAAGGCAAAACATACTGTTGGCTTGTTGACATCGTGGGCATGGCTTGATCCAGTGTCCTGGGATTCTACCTTCCTAGGAAAATTAAGGCCAGGTACAGTGGCTCATGCCTGTAATCCCAGCACTTTGGAGTGCCTAGATGGGCAGATGACGAGGTCAGGAGTTTCAGACCAGCCTGACCAACATGGCGAAACCCTGTCTCTACTAAAAATACAAAAATTAGCTGGTCATGATATGCACGTGTAATCTCAGCTACTCAGGAGGCTGAGGCAGGAGAATCACTTGAACCCAGGAGGTGGAGGTTGCAGTAAGCTGAGATCGCGCCACTGCATTCTAGCCTGGGTGACAGAGCAAGACTCCATCTAAAAAAAAGAAAAGAAAATTAAAAGACTGTAGCTCTCTATAGTTCATAGGGTTCAATTATTATCCTGTTTCAAATCTCTCAAATATTAGTTTTGAAGATGCATTTTGATGATGAGTTTGATGGAGTCCAAACATTTGTCTCTCAGCTTCCTGCTAGGAGCTATCTTCATTGTTTGTTTTTTTTGTTTTTTTGTTTTATTTTGAGATGAAGTTTTGCTCTTGTTGCCCAGGCTGGAGTGCAATGGCACTATCTCAGCTTATTGCAACCTCCACTTCCCGGGTTAAAGTGATTATCCTGCCTCAGCCTCCCCAGTAGTTGGGATTACAGGTGCCTGCCACCATGCCCAGCTAATTTTTTTTGTATTTTTAGTAGATAACAGGGTTTCACTATGTTGGCCAGGCTGGTCTGGAACTCCTGACATCAGGTGATCCACCCACCTCAGTCTCCCAAAGTGCTGGGATTACAAGCATGAGCCACCGCACCTGGCTCTTACTAGGAGCTATTTTCGTTTATTCTACCAACACAATCAATGTATGGTTGATATTCTAGTATAGGATTATATAAAAGAATATATTACCATTTAAAGACTTTGCCATCTGGTGGCTGCTAACTAGGATATTCCCTGTTTTGCAAATTTAGGTTTTATTTTTAAAAGTCCATTGAGTGTAGATGCTGTAATTTATCCTGAATGTGATACGTAGATGTGGTCCCCACTGACGTCAGAAGGTTCTTTTTTGGTTTTCATCATGCTCTGAGGGGATTGTGACCTTGAGGAGGTGGAGACAGAGGAAATAAGGCCCAGGGAGATTAATAGTCTTGAGCACAGGGTGCTGCAGAACCACAGATGGGCTCTGAGTTGCAGCTGAAGTGACTGCTTCCTATTCATTTGTTGGGTTAATAGACACCATTTCTGGCTCCAACTCAAGATGCTAAATCAGGGCCCCTTGTGTAAAACCTGCTACCAGTCCCAAGAACTAAAGCATCTGTGTGTCAAAGGCAAAAAAATTCCACAGCCCAGCATTGTCTGGGCGGATCTGCTGTGTAAATGCCCAGGGGCAGCCTGTGGGGTGGGGTCTGGCTCAGGCTGCCCATGCTAAGAGGAAGAACAGACAGACAGGAGCTAGAGCTCAGGGTGACTGCATGGTTTGTGTCCCAGAGCCTGGTGGTGATGGTAGACCTAAAGAATGTTGAGAAGTGCAGTGAAAGTCTTCCCAGGGTGAGCAGTGGGCCAGATTAGGGCCTAGTCGTGGGGGTCCATTTCTGGAAGTAACATGGAACCAACTAGGAGCCCTGTTTGATCCTGCAGGAATTTGTAGTCTACAAAGAATTGACAGAAAATGCCCTTTCCACTCCATCTCTTCCTGGAGATTTTGAAAGCCCCTCTTTGCCTCTGTGGGGGAGTTGATGCCTCCTGCCAACCCTGAGACCCTGGCAGTTCATAGCTGTGCTAGAGAAGGGCCGGAGTCTAAGGTTCCTATCTCCTTCCTCATCTTTTTAGGAAAAGTTCCAGTTCCTCTGTACCCTGAGATTCCCTGTTCTTCTCAGAAGCCCTAGGGCTGGATCATCTCTTGGTGGAGGGAACAGCAGAGCATTGTGAGGACAGATTCAGGGCAGATGTCCTTGTTTTGACTGCTTTTGTCCCTGTTCCCCACCCACCCATGCTCTTCCATGGTGGAATTCCTGATGTCCTTGGCTGCTCCCACTGGCCATCTACACATGAAGGGCCCTGGCTGGCACCAGGCATGCTGGGGGATGGGAGAATTATCCTTAGAGCTATTTTCCTGGATGTCACCATGTTTTGAAATGTTTGCAGGCACCATCATGTGTTATGGGCAGACAGGAGCTGGCAAGACATATACCATGACGGGGGCAACTGAGAATTACAAGCACCGGGGGATCCTCCCTCGTGCACTGCAGCAGGTAGAGAGTGGGCCCAAGGGTGGGATGCCACACAGGCCCCCCTCTCTGCCATAGATGTTACCAACCCGAGGCCAGCTACTAGAGACAGTGGGGACCAGGCCTCAAAGGAGCTGCAGGGGGTGCTGGTGCTGGAGACAACATACACAGGGCTCCGGAGTCAGTGGAGTCAGAGGCCTCAGGAAACCAGGAGGTTGGGTTTCAGACTCTGACCCACACCAGCACTGAGCCTGCTTCCTCATTTGGGAAGGAGGGAATCCAGCATGCTAATCAGCCTCTTGGTGTTCCAATGGTCTGTGATCCTGTAATTAAGGATTTGGAGGTCCTAATCATGTTCCTTCCTGGTTTTAATGAGGGGCATATGGACCCTTGCAGAGCTTCCTTACTGGTCTACTCTGGCTTTTTTCACCACCACAGCCCCTGAAAGATCAAAAGCAAGAAGCAGGGCATGACCTGAGCTTTCAGGACCATGTCAGCCCTGGGGGTTCTCAATAGCATACCTGAAGATAGGACAGAAGGGTCTTCCTTTGGGCCCCACTAGCCTGGGTTCTATGAAGACCCTTTGGTCAGAGGGAGGAGGCAAAAGGCTTTCCCTGAAAGCGCCTTGGCAGTTTTACAGCCCTGTCCTATAAAAAGTGTAGACATTCCTTTAGAATGTAAACTATCCATGCTCCCATTTTTGGAGCAATATCCTTAATATCCCACTGTTAAAGCTTCATTACCTTAGCATCTTAGACGAGTAATCTAGCCCAGTATCACTAACAGAAATATACTGTAAGTCACATGCAGTTTTGAGTTTTCCAGTAACCACATTTTAAAAAGTAAAAATAAACAGATGAAATTAATTGTAATGATATATTTTACTTAACTAAATACATTCGAAATACTTCCACATGTAATCACTATGAACTTATTGAGATATTTTACATTCTTTTTCTCATACAAAGTCTTTGAAATCCGGTACATATTTTATACTTGGAGCACATTTCAGTTTAGGCATAAACACTATCAGAAATACTTGATCTGGGCTGGGTACTTGCTCTGGGCCTGGGATTATGCCTGTAATCCCAGCACTTTGGGAGGCCAAGACAGGTGGATTACCTGAAGTCAAGAGTTTGAGAACAGCCTGGCCAACATGGCGAAACCCTGTCTCTACTAAAAATACAAAAATTATCTGGGGTGGTGACATGTGCCTGTAATCCCAGCTACTCAGGAGGCTGACACAGGAGGATTGCTTGAACCTGGGAGGTGGAGGTTGCAGTGAGCCGAGATTGTGCCACTGCACTCTAGCCTGGGTGACAGAGCATGACTCCATCTCCAAAAAAGAAAAAAAAAAAAAAAAAAGAAATACTTAATCTGTATTTAGATTTTATAAAATGTTAAAAAAAAAGTAGATTTATATACCCAAGGTATTCCAGACATACTTAAAGTTTACCAATAACTGAATTATCAGTTTGTAAATCTAAATGTAATTAAATAAAATTTAAAATTCAGGTCATTTGTACTAGCCACATTTTAGGTACTCAGCAGCCATCTATAACTTGTGTCTACCATTTTGAACAGCACAGGTTTAAATTCTTACAGGAAGGCAGGACCTCAGGGGTTATCTCTTCTTAATAAGTACTAGGGAGGGCATTAGGAGTTGAGAAGGCTGCATTCTGGCTTTACTTCTACTCTTACTAGCTGAGTGACCATAGACAAATAATTTTATTTCGTGGTGCCTTCCACAAATAGGTATTGCCCCTGCACTGCCTCAATCACAGAGATTTATATGAGGGTGGAATAAAATAGATTTGAAAGAAGCATGTAAATGATAAGACTCCATAAAATGAGAAATCCTCACTCCAGAGTCCTTTCCACTCATGATACCTCTACTTCTTGAGATGGTTCAAGTGTTAGCGAGTCTGATGTCAAGCCTGGAAAAACTATAAGATGGTAATAAATATCTCCCAATTCCTTTAGGACAGGAATCCTTCTATATGTCTTGATGTTCCCTTCTGAGGTAAGAAGCCCCTTACACTAGCTGGCTGTTGGAGTTCTGCTCTTGGTGACCAGTGTGTAATCTCTCATCTAGGTTTTTAGGATGATCGAAGAACGCCCCACACATGCCATCACTGTGCGTGTTTCCTACTTGGAAATCTATAATGAGAACCTGTTTGATCTGCTGTCTACTCTGCCGTACGTTGGACCCTCAGTCACACCAATGACCATCGTGGAAAACCCTCAAGGGGTCTTCATTAAGGGCTTGTCAGTCCATCTCACAAGTCAGGAGGAGGATGCATTCAGCCTCCTTTTTGAGGTGAGATAACAAAACCTAAGGGTTCTTTTGCTTCTCCCCTTTCCTTTCTCCTTCTCAGTTTTTCTTTTTCTTTTTTGAGACAGGATCTTGCTTTGTCTCCAACGCTAGATTATACTAGCATGAATATGGCTTACTGCAGCCTCGACCTCCTGGGCTTAAGTGGTTCTCCTGCCTCAGCCTCCCAAGTAGCTGGGACCACAGGCACCGCTATCATACCCACCTAATTTTTTTTTTTTTTTTTGTAGAGACGAGTTCTCACCATGTTGCCCAGACTGGTCTTGAACTCCTAGGCTCAAGTGATGCTCCCACCTCAGCCTCTCAAAGTACAGGGATTACAGGCGAGCCACTTTGACCAGCCAATTTTTTTACTTACTTTGATTATCAGAATGGAAATTAATATATGCACATTAGGCAAGTTTGGATAGTGCTAAAAATATATAGGAACAAAAAATAATTTCATTTCCTTTTCCTTTCCAATTACATAAATAAAAAGAAAAAGAAAAAAATGTCTCATACATAATCTGTTTTTTACATAAGGCAACAATAATGTGTATATATATATATATATATATATATATATATTTTTTTTTTTTTTTTTTTTTTTTTTTTTTTTGAGACGGAGTTTCGCTCTTGTTACCCAGGTTGGAGTGCAATGGCGCGATCTCGGCTCACCGCAACCTCCGCCTCCTGGGTTCAGACAATTCTCCTGCCTCAGCCTCCTGAGTAGCTGGAATTACAGGCACGTGCCACCATGCCCAGCTAATTTTTTGTGTTTTTAGTAGAGACGGGGTTTCACCATGTTGACCAGGATGGTCTCGATCTCTTGACCTCGTGATCCACCCGCCTCGGCCTCCCAAAGTGCTGGGATTACAGGCTTGAGCCACCGCGCCCGGCTAATAATATATATTTTAGCTTATTTCCTTCTAGTCTTTTTTCCTGTGCAGTTTTTCCTTTACATACGTGTATTATTCTTATGTCCTTTTTTTCAGCTAATATTAAGTTATGAGCTCTTGTGTGGAGAACATAAGAATTAGCATCCTTAGTATATAAAAGCCCTTGGAGGCCAGGCACAGTGGGCTCACACCTGTAATGCCAGCACTTTGGGAGGCCAAGGTGGGTGGGTCACTTGAGATCAGGAGTTTGAGACCAGCCGGGCCAATGTAGTGAAACCCTGTCTCTACTAAAAATACAAAAATTAGCTGAGAGTGGTGGCACACACCTGTAATCCCAGCTACTCGGGAGGCTGAGGCAGAAGAATTGCTTGAATCTGAGAGGCAGAGATTGTAGTGAGCTGAGATTGCACCATTGTGCTCCAGCCTGGGCGACAGAGCAAGACTGTCTCAAAAAAATAAATAAAAACTCTTAGAAACCAGTCAAATGGGCTGGGCACAGTGGCTTACACCTGAAATTCCATCACTTTGGGAGGAGGCCAAGGCGGGCGGATCACTTGAGCTCATGAGTTCGAGACCAGCCTACGTAACACAGTGAAACCCCGTCTCTACCAAAAATACAAAAATTAGCCAGGCATTGTCAACACTTTGGCAGGCTGAGGTGGGAGGATACACTTGAGCCCAGGAGGTAGAGCTTGCAGTGAGCTGAGATCATGCCACTGCACTCCAGCCTGGGTAATATAGCAAGACTCTGTCATAAAAACAAGAAAGAAAGAAAGAAATCAAGTGTATGTTATTCTTTTAGAAGTCATGTAGGCTGGGAGCTCTTTTTTGTTTGTTTGTTTTGTTTTTGCAAGGTCTCGCTATGTTGCCCAGGCAATGGGCACGTGTGCAGTGGCTATTCACAGGCATGATCATAGTGCCTTCTCACCACATAGCAACTTACTTCCTCAACATCAATAGCAGGATCTTTTTTAAAGGGTCAGAAAGACAAGGCAAGGCCCAGCATGGCAGCTTATGCCTGTAATCCCAGAATTGAGAGGCCAGGGCAGGCAGATTACTGGAAGTCAGGAGTTCGAGCCTAGCCTAGCCAACACGGTAAAACCCCCTCTCTACTAAAAATAAAAAATAAAAAAAAACAAAGAGAAAGACAAGGCAAAAGAGTACTTCAGAAGGGGTACTGAAGAATAAAGGTGAATGACTGGATGTGGTGACTCATGCCTGTCATCCCAGCACTTTGGGAGGCTGAGTCAGGAGGATTGCTTGAGCTTAGGAGTTTGAGACCAGGGTGAGTGACACAGCAGAACCCTGTGTCTACAAAAAGTATAAAAACTAGCTGGGCATGGTGGCCTGCACCTGGGGTTTTAACTGCTTGGGAGGCTGAGAAAGGAGGATCACTTGAGCCTGGGAGGTGGAGGTTGCAGTAAGCCAATATCACACCACCGCATTTCTAGCCTGGACAACAGAGTGAGACTGATCTCAAAAAAAAAAAAAAAAAAAAAAAAAAAAAGGTGAAGTGACCCCTTACATTCTTGGTGAGTGTCACTGGATTTGTAGAACAGGCCTGACCACAGACTATAGCCTCGTTGCTCTAAGCTATAGAGGTATAGCCACAGGGGTCTGCTAGGCTTGCTCCATAGCCTCAGGCCTTCCCTCTTCAGCAGGTGCTCTCCTCTCCCCAGGGTGGGCTGTACCCCACCCCCACTTTGGGGCTTATTCGTAGCATTTCTCATCAGCATTTAAAGATACATCAGTCTATCCCTTAAGGACCTTTTTCTCCGAGAACAGCCATTTCTACCACATTCCTTTTTAAGTATATTCTGGTCATAAGGCCCACTCCTGTAAATTTGAGGCAAGGGCCTACTGTCCTTTTAAAAATACAAATTAGGCTGGGCGCGGTGGCTCACGCCTGTAATCCCAGCACTTTGGGAGGCCGAGGCGGATGGATCACAAGGTCAAGAGATCGAGACCATACTGGTCAACATGGTGAAACCCCGTCTCTACTAAAAATACAAAAATTAGCTGGGCATGGTGGCGTGTGCCTGTAATCCCAGCTACTCAGGAGGCTGAGGCAGGAGAATCGCCTGAACCCAGGAGGCGGAGGTTGTGGTGAGCCGAGATCGTGCCATTGCACTCCAGCCTGGGTAACAAGAACGAAACTCCGTCTCAAAAAAAAAAGAAAAAAAAAAGAAAAATACAAATTAATAGTTCAGGAACAGTGGCTCATGCATGTAATCCCAGAACTTCAGGAGGCCGAGGTGAGCAGATCTCTTGAACTCATGAGTTCCAGTCCAGCTTTGGCACATGGTGAAACCCTGTCTCTACAAAAAATACAAAAATTAGCCAGGTGTGGTAGTGGACGCTTGTAGTCCCAGCTACTTGGGAAGCCAAGGTGGGAGGATGGTTTGGGCCTGGGAGGCAGAGATTGCAGGAAGCTGAGATCGTGCCACGGCATTCTAGTATAGGTGACAGACTGAGACGCTCTCTCAAAAAGAAAAAAAACTGTGAACACTAAATAAATATAAATATAAATATAAATTTTTATTGTTTTTAAACAATACATGGTCACTAAAAGAAAAAAACCCACAAAACTGTATAAAAAAGAAAAAATAACCTGTAAACTCCAACCCAGAAGCAACTATTATTGACATCTTAGTAGCAGAATTCTGCTTATTTCTTCTTGGTAACAAGAAGAAATGCTTTTGTGAATGCTTTTGCATTCCTTAGATCATACTATAATATGATTTTGGATTCTACATTTCTGTTATTAAAATCTATGTGTCAGCATTTTCCTGGCTGCCTAATATTCCATTGTACACATAGATCATTCCCAAATTGTTAGACATGCAGGTTGATTCTGATTTAATATTCATAAACATTTTGAAGTCTCTTGATTTTTTTTTTTTTTTTTTTGAGTCAGAGTTTTGCTGTTGTTGCCCAGGTTGGCGTACAATGACAAGATCTCAGCTCACTGCAACCTCCGCCTCCTGGGTTCAAGCAATTCTTCTGCCTCAGCCTCCTGAGTAGCTGGGATTATAGGCACAAGTCACCACACCCAGCTAATGTTTTGTATTTTTAGTAGAGACAGGGTTTCAGCATGTTGGCCAGGGTGGTCTCAAACTCCTGACCTCAGGTGATCTACCCGCCTTGGCCTCCCAAAGTGCTGGGATTACAGGCGTGAGTCACCACGCCTGGCCCAAGGCTCTTAATTTTTTATTGTCACTTTGGTTTCCAGAAAGCTATAGCAATTCACACATCCCCAGCAGCAGGTGAAAGTGTAGATTCGGACTCCAATTTGACTCCCTTTCTGTTAGTTTATAAAAGAGGTTTGCCTGGAAGCCCAGCTGATTGCAGCGATATGAGACCACTTGTGTAGCTATCGGTATAATTTAAAAATGACCCAAATACTTTGTCATTTTAGTTTTTCACAACGTTGTCAATGATTCCCTTCCTCTTCAGGGTGAGACCAACAGGATTATAGCCTCCCACACTATGAACAAGAACTCTTCCAGATCTCACTGCATTTTCACCATCTACTTGGAGGTAGGTACAAGCTCCTTGATCAGCCCAGGTTGGGCAGTCAAATCCCATGGGGCCTGTTCAGTCAGAAACTTCTTCCAGTGACGGTCTAACTTCTGCCTGGATGTTTTGTAGGCCCATTCCCGGACCTTATCAGAGGAAAAGTATATCACTTCCAAAATTAACTTGGTGGATCTGGCAGGCTCAGAGAGGCTGGGGAAGTCTGGGGTAAGTGATGGGGATGGAGTTGCTACTCAGTAAGCCACAAGCCCTTTTCCTGGCATAGTGCTCACACATGTGGGCCATTACTCACTGGATATTTGTGAACACAGTCCTGAGCTAGGCCAAGTGGGAAATGTGGACTTGCTGGATGGGCAGGATTGGCGAAGGTAGAACAGCTGTTACCAAGGGGCAGTTCCTACCTCAGAGGACTTTTGTAAACATTAAATGAGATAGTGCCCTCTATATTCTTAGCAAAGTGCCTGGCACTCAGTGCTCAGTAAATGTTCCTTGCTAGTATAACATTTCTCCTCCGTGTGTGTATTTGTTGTTGTTATTTTGAGACAGTCTTGCTCTGTCTCCCAGGCTGGGGTACAGTAGTGTAAACACGGTTCACTGAAGCCTTGACCTCCCAGGCTCAAGTGATCCTCCCACTTCAGCCTCCCAAGTATCTGAGACCACAGGTGTGTACCACCATGATGGGCTAATTTTTAATTTTTTTTGTAGAGATGGGGTCTTGCTACGTTGCCAAGGCTTAACTCCTGGGCTCAAGCAATCCTCCTGCTTCGGCCTCCCACAGTGCTGGGATCACAGCCGTGAGCCACTACATCTGGCTTCTTTGTGAATGAATAAGAGTATTCATATGAGGATTTGCATGGTTATTTCAAATAAATATTTGTATGAGTGTATTAGCACAAGTATTAACACGAGTGTTCAGATGCGCATTTGTATGTGCATTCATGAGTGTGTGAATATTCACAGGATTCTTTAAGTATCTGGACAAATATTCCAGTGCATATTCATGTTAGTGTGAATATTGAGTGACTATCCATATGAATGTTCATGGAAACATTCACATTCGCATGAGTATTTATGAGTTTTGGTATTACCACTATTAGCCCAAGATGGAATATAATCCCGACACTGAGGGAGGACCCTGGTTCTGGGAAGGAGGCTGTGACCTGACTACAGACTTATAGCACTTCTCCAGACCAGGAATACTGCTATTCTGGTTTTGTTGTTGTGTTTTGACATGGAGTTTTGCTCTTGTTGCCCAGGCTGGAGTGCAATGGCACAATATCAGCTCACCACAACCTCCTCCTCTTAAGTTCAAGTGATTCTGCTACCTCAGTCTCCCAAGTAGCTGAGATTACAGGCATGCGCCACCACACCTGGCTAATTTTGTAGTTTTAGTAGAGATGGGGTTTCTCCATGTTGGTCAGGCTGGTCTTGAACTCCCGACCTCAGGTGATCCGCCCACCTCAGCCTCCCAGAGTGCTGGGATTACAGGTGTGAGCCACTGTGTCCAGCCAAAGACTGCTATTCTTAGTGGGGCACTTACTTTATTCCATCCAAAGTAGAACTGACCTTTGCTTTGTAGTCTGAGGGCCGAGTCCTGAAGGAAGCCACCTACATCAACAAATCGCTGTCGTTCCTGGAGCAGGCCATCATTGCCCTCGGGGACCAGAAGCGGGACCATATCCCCTTTCGGCAGTGCAAGCTCACTCATTCTCTGAAGGACTCATTAGGTGAGGGGGTACAGTTGCTGCCCAGGGAGGAGGGTCTATGTCTTTGGGAAGGAACAGGTTTGGCACATCTGCCACTGACAATAATAAAATTGCTCCCTCCTGGTGGCATGGATTCATCTGCAGCACATTCGCAGTGACTTCAGACACCTGGAAAGGCAGAATCAAGCCCCGCGCCCAGAACACACCATGCTATTCACTCCTCACAACCTTCCTTAGCTTTTACCTGTCCTGGGAAACCTCTTTTCCCCTTGTCCCAAGGGGACAGCTGGCAGAATCTTTCACAGCCTGAAGACTTGGGGTGAGGGCCTGTCTCCCATGGTGTCTTCCTTTCCCCTACCACCTTCTGGACAGAGCAGCAGGGGCTGTGTCTTATCATCCCCATGGCGCTAGGCCTTTGTGTTGAGCCTGACAATGCAGTCACTAGTGTCTGATGGTTATCTGAGTGCCACCCTTAGCAAAGCTCCGACTCACACCTTCCTCTCCTGCCCTACCCCTCCCTGCCCTGTATCATCTCTCCTCTGCTGTTTTCTCCTGGATCCTCTTTTAGATACATCTGGTGGCCTCTTTCTGTCTTCCCCTTACCTCCCAGCCTCACAGATGTGTATGTCCTCTCTGACCCTGTCTCAGTTCAGGCTGCTATAAGAAAATACCATAAACTGCCAGGCACAGTGGCTCATACCTGTAATCCCAGCACTTTGGGAGGCTGAGGGGGGTGGATCACCTGAGGTTAGCAGTTCGAGACCAGTCTGAACAACATGGAGAAACCCTACCTGTACTAAAAATACAAAATTAGCCAGGCATGGTGGCACATGCCTGTAATCCCAGCTACTCGGGAGACTGAGGCAGGAGAATCGCTTGAACCCAGGGGGCAGAGATTGCAATGAGCCAAGATTGTGCCATTGTACTCCAGCCTGGTCAACAAGAGCAGAACTCTGTTTCGAAAGAAAAAGAGAAAGAAAGAAAGAAGGAAGGAAGGAGGGAGGGAGGGAAGGAAGAAAGGAAGGGAAAGAAAGAAAGAAAGAAAAAGAAAGAAAGAAAGAAGAAAGAAAGAAAGACCATAAACTAAGTGGCTTAAACAGTAGGCATTTATTTCACATGGTTCTGGAGACTGGAAAGTTCAAGAGCCAAGTGCCAGCAGATTTAATGCCTAGTGAGGGCCTTCTTCCTGGCTTGCAGATGGCCACCTTCTTGCTGTATCCTCACATGGAAAAAAAGAGAGGGCCCTGGTCTCTTTTCTTATAAGGACGCTAACCCCATCATGGGGGCCCCACCCTCATGACTTTAACTAAACTAAATTACCTTCCCCTTCCAGAGTCTTCACAACCAAATACCATCACATCGGGGGTTCTGACTTCAACATACGAATTTCGTAAGGACAAAAACATTCAGTCCTGGCCAGGTGTGGTGGCACACACCTGTAATCCCAGCATTTTGGGAGGCTGAGGCAGGAGGATTGCTTGAGGCCAGGAGTTCAAGACCAGCCTGGGCAACATAGCAAAACCTTGTCTCTACTAAAAATAAAAAAAATTAGCCAGGTGTGGTGGCGTGCACCTGTAGTCCCAGCTACTTGGGAGGCTGAGGCAAGAGGATTGCTTGAGCCCAGGAGATTGAGGCTGCAGTGAGCTATAATTATGTCACTGCACTCCAGCCTGGGTGACATAGTGAGACCCTGTTTCAAAAAAACAAAAAACATTCAGTGTATAACAGACCCCACCAGCTCCTTTGGAGCAGAAAAACCACATGGTTCACAGTCCCTTTTGTGTCTTGCTTTCTGCAGGGGGAAACTGCAATATGGTCCTCGTGACAAACATCTATGGAGAAGCTGCCCAGTTGGAGGAAACGGTATGTAAAGACAGTCAATGAAACGTTGGAATCCCTCCTCATGGGTGCCAGGGCAGGGTAAGCCTGGCTAAGCTGGCACAGTGACCATAGACTCAAGAGTGAAAGGATCTAGGCTTGAGTCTGAGCCACAGTTGCTGAGGGGGCCCAGAGCCAGGAGCCACACACCAAGCACTGAGCTGTGTGGAGGAAGAGGGCCAGGCAGGAGGTGGGCTCAGTGTGGGGGACTATGCGAGGAGAGAGGCTGAGAGCCAGCTTTGTGGAGACAAGGACCACGTTTCCTGGGGTGCTGCTCCTGGAATTGGGATTGAGAAGGATCATTGGTCACGTGTTCTTTGTAATCATACACATTTAAACATCTTGAAACCCCCACAGGGTTCCAGGCTGTGGCTATAAGGCCAGTATGGGCAGATGATATTAAGCACCTGCCATGTGCACCGTGTTAAGGAGGAATAGCCTGGAAGAAATTAGTCGTAGATGGCCTTGGGGCTTAGCATCCTCAACCCAGAAAGAGAGAGAAGCCATAGTCCTAAGTGATATGAGGTCCAGAGAGAGGAGACCTTCAGAGGAGGCCAGGATGGGGGTGAAGGGGAACTTTTCCTTAAGCTGGAGCTGAAATTAGTCGTAGATGGCCTTGGGGCTTAGCATCCTCAACCCAGAAAGAGAGAGAAGCCATAGTCCTAAGTGATATGAGGTCCAGAGAGAGGAGACCTTCAGAGGAGGCCAGGATGGGGGTGAAGGGGAACTTTTCCTTAAGCTGGAGTTGGGCACTGAGCTGGCTGGGGTTAAAGGGTTGGCAGTAGGATGAGCAGAGGTACTCCTGGCAGAGGTAACAGTGGGACTGAAGATGTGATCCACACCAGGAAGATCTGACTACTGTGGGGGTTTAAGGGTCTCAGGAAGAAGGAAAGAAATCTCAGGGGCCGAATGGGCCCTGGTGGCCCGGCTGAGGCCTTGGCTCTTCCACAGGTGGCTGGAGCTGTCACAGGGTTTGAGTAGGGGAAAGCTGTGGCCAGAGGTGAGATTACTCAGGGAGATTATCCATGTGGCAGGATGGTGGCCTAGTGAAGGGAGAAGCTTGTGAGAATTAGAGGCAGGAATAAAGGTCTAGCCCAGTGACACAGGTGAGTCCACACAGCTGAGCACCTTAAGCTTGGGGCTTTCCCAGCTTTCCTCTGAAGTGCCACCCATCATAAGTAAGACAGATCAGGAAAGCTATCATTAGACATTTTACTTTTCAAGTGTGGATGTTTAGGGCAAGCTTCAGTCACCTGGAGAATCCACTTAGGTGAAACAGGTTTTTTCCAAAGATACTTCAGGGCAATACATGCCTGCAGGGTCTCCCAGCTGTGTGCATTAGGGACTGTCCCAGCTTCCAAGAAGAGTGCTCCTGTCGAACATCCAGCACCCTGGGACTTGGGAGGCAGGGCTGAAGAGCTCCAGCTGACGTGCGAGGCAGCATCCCCAGAGGAAGGCTTCTGGAACCTCTTGGTCTCATGGGATTAAAAAAGCATAGTTGAGGCCAGGTGCAATGGCTCATGCCTGTAATCCCAGCATTTTGGGAGGCCAAGGTGGGTGAATCACTCCTTGAGGTCAAGAGTTTGAGACCAGCCTGGCCAACATGGTGAAACCCCGTCTCTACTAAAAATACAAAAATTAGCAGGGCATGGTGGTAAGTGCCTGTAATCCCAGCTACTCGGAAGGCTGAGGCAGGAGAATTGCTTGAACCCTGGAGGCGGAGGTTGCAGTGAGCCGAGATTGGACCACTGAACTCCAGCCTGGGTGACAGAGCAAGACTCCATCTCAAAAGAAAAAAAAAAAACCAAACATGTTATAAGAAAGATGTCCTCCAAGATAGCAGAAGCTCTTTATCTCCCTTTACCTCCTGTGATGCTTATAGGTCAGGAAGCTACTTTCCTGGTACCTGCAATCTCAAGGGCTTGTACCCATACCAGCTGGGGTCTCTGCCCAGGACTGAACCCACAGAGCCAAGAGGAACTGTTGGAGGGTCTCAGGGGTTTGGGACAAAGGTATATTGGGGATATGGAAGCTAATGATTCTCTTCTCCATATGTGTTGAAACTTTAAAACAGTTCTCATTATGGATTGTGTTGCTTTATGCAGTGACACTGTACATGTGTGTGTGAGTAACCACAGTGATGGGTCATGGCTGTACTCACGGCTGTGCTTGGAGCAGGAGAGTCTGACTTGGCCCTGTGCAGAAGTGACACCACCTGTAATGACAGAGATGCCTTCCTGAGGGCTCACTGTGAGCCAGCTCTAAACAGAGCACATTATACACCTTATCAAGGCAGCTCTCCCCTCACCTGACAGAGAAGTTGTGAGATCTGTCAATGGCCATGCAAGTGGTCAGTGGCTGTGCTCGGAGCCACCAGAGTAGACTGCCCAAGGAAGAGCCCTTTCAGTCTTTCCTCTGGGCCACTTAGGGGCAAGCCATCCCTACTCCTAGCCTGCTTCCTCATTTCAGGATCATTCATTGAGATATGAGGCAGCCCAGGATGGTCTGAGGCTGGAATCTCTGGGCCTGCCTCCTGAGGACACTGGCTGTTCCTCATTGCCAAGGAGGAGCCCTCCACCCCTCAGCTAGCATCCGCAGTAGCGCGATCTCGGCTTACCGCAACCTCCACCTCCCGGGTTCAAATGATTTTCCTGCCTCAGCCTCCCAAGTAGCTGCAATTACAGACCTGCTCCACCACACCTGGCTAATTTTGTATTTTTAGTAGAGGTGGCATTTCTCTATGTTGGTCAGGCTGGTCTTGAACTCCCTACCTCAGGTGGTCCACTTGCCTCAGCCTCCCACAGTGCTGGGATTACAGGCAGGAGCCACTGTGCCTGGCCAATTTCTCAGTAATTTTTAAATGTTGATTACATGTTGAAATTATAATATTTTGGGGCCAGGTACAGTGGCGCACACCTGTAGTCCCAGCTATTCAGGAGGCTGAGGTGGGAGGATTGCCTGAGCCCAGAAGGTTGAGGCTGCAGTGAGCTATGATTGTGGCATTGTACTCCAACCTGGATGACAGAGCAAGATCCTGTCTCAAAAAAGTAAAACAAAACAAACAAAAAACCCCGCAAACAAACAAAGCATAATGTTTTGGATATCCTGGGTTAAAATTTAAATAAAAGATATTAATATTATTTTCATCTACTTACTTTTCCTATATGATTACTAGAAAATGTAAAATTACATAGATGACTTACCTTTGTAGTTTGCATTATATCTCTGTTGGACATAGCTGATCTAGACCCTGAAAACTGCATGGAGGAGGCAAAACACTGTTTGTGGAAGGAGCAGAGACCTTTCAGGTGAAGGAAAACCAGGAGGGCTTCAAGAAGGAAGCTGGTTTTCAGCTGAGCCTTGAAAAGGGAGTGGAACGTGGGAAGGCAGACAGCATAGGAGGACAGAAAAGGGTACTCCAGACAGGGGTTGCCTGAGCAGAGGCCTAGAGGTAGAAGATGGTCAGGTTTGGATGAAGAAATAGACCAGTACGTATCCTCATAGTTTACATGACGAGGACCAGCCTGCCATATGTGCCCTCTGTCAGCTTCCTGCTCTTCTCATGGTACCTCATACCCAAGAACCCTTTTCACCAATGTCCTCCAGGGGAAGGGAACCAACATGGGTGGGTTGACAAGGGAGCCTGAGGAGCCAGGAAAGGGCAGGCAGGGTCTCTGAGAAGGCCGGTCTCTTGGAGCCCCACTTTAGTGGCGAGCCATCTGACGTCTACCTGGTCTGTTTTTCAGCTGTCTTCACTGAGATTTGCCAGCAGGATGAAGCTAGTCACCACTGAGCCTGCCATCAATGAAAAGTATGATGCTGAGGTACAGCAGGGATCATGGGCAGTTGTCCTACTGTGGGGAAGGTGTATGGGGTTCGCTACTTGGGTCACACAAGCCTGGCTTCCCCTCCTACCTCAACCAAAGATCTCCATGCAGCCCTGGGTCAGTCCCTTTCCACCTCTGGACTGGCCAGAGTCTTCAGAGTCCCTGGAGACCTTTAGCGGCTGACATGGGGTGAAAGGGCAAGGTCAGGCCACCAACAAGTTCACATGTGGGGCTCTGGGAACTCTGGGTGCTGTAGGCTTCTCCATGAGATTTCCTTAGAGCTAAGGGCTAAAGTGGTGTGGACCATCTTTCAGAATCACCTGGCTATGTCACTACAGAACAGAGCTGGCCAGTCAGAGGGGGTGCTCAGCATCACCATTAACCAGGGAAATACAAATTAAAACCTCAGTGGAATTCTACCCTCAACTTAGCAAAAACTAGAATGATGATGAGAATGTGAAGAAATGGAAACTCTTGTCCACTTCTGGTCAAAGTGTAATTGATACAACCACTTTGGAGAGCATTCTGGCAACATCTGTATAGTGAAAGCACATTTATTGTGAATTTGGCTTTCCTCTAAGATGCGTATGGAATCATAGCTCACAGAGAAAGGAGGATTTGCAAGCCCTAAGATTGACAAGCCAGTTGCACGTTTCAGATTCTAAGTCCTGAAGGAAAATGACCGTCCCTGTGGCTCTGTGGAACAAACCCATGGTTTGGAGATTGGGGAGGGAGTGGATCTTGGAGCAGCTGTTCTCACGTGAGAAGGCATCAGAATCGCCTGGCTGATGTGGAACCACAGATCACTAGATTAATTCCCAGTGATTCTGAAAGTTTCTGATTCCCATTTTTTTTTTCTTTTCTTTTTAAAAATTTTCATCTTAAGGTCGGCTTCTACCCCATTTCTAGTAAGTTTTTAGGCCCTTTTATGACACCGATACCTGCTCTCTTGGGGCCACACTTTGAGAACCACTGGCATCCTAGTGAAGGCCATGGCAGCTGGATTGGGCTCCCCTGGGTTTAGCACTCTGCTCTTTCCTCCATTAGCTGTATATAGTCTCAGCAAAATACCTAGAGTTTTTTTTTTTTTTAGACAGAGTCTCCCTGTGTCACCCGAGCTGGAGTGCAGTGGTGCGATCTCAGCTGACTGCAACCTCTGCCTCCTGGATTCAAGTGCTTCTCCTGCCTCAGCCTCCTGAGTAACTGGGATTACAGGCATGTGCCACCATGCCCAGCTAATATTTGTTTTTTTGTTCTTTGAGACAGAGTCTTGCTCTGTCGCCCAGGCTGGAGTGCAGTGGTACAATCTCAGCTCACTGCAGCCTCCACCTCTGGGGCTAAAACCATTCTCTTGCCTCATCCTCCTGAGTAGCTGGGACTTCAAGCACCCACCACCACACCTAGCTAATTTTTGTGTATTTATTAGAGACAGGGTTTCACCATGTTGGCCAGGCTGGTCTCAAACTTCTGACCTCAGGTGATCCACCCGCCTTGGCCTCCCAAAGTGCTGGGATTACAGACATGAGTCACCAAGCCTGGCCAAAATACCTATGCTTTCTAAGTCTCAGTTTCTTCATTTGTAAATTGGGTAGATAACAGAATCCATGCTCAAAGAGATCTTATGAAGAATGAGATAATGTGGAGAAACCTCTCAGCATAGTGCTGTCATGGGGTAAATGTTCAATGGATATCGGTCAGCACTCCTCCTCCATCAGCAGTGTTGCTTCTAGGTGTATATAGTCTAGAGACATTCTTACATGGGTGAGAGACTATAGAAGTCACTATTACAACAGGCACTGTGAGCGCCATTCGTCTATAGAGTCCGTAAGTCTCTTCATAGACTTATTGTAATAGTGATTAAACAGTGACTCTTTATAGTACTTATTATAATAGTGAAAAATTAGGAACATAATCAATATCCTTTAACAGAAGAGTAGCTAAATGAGTTGTGGGATGAGGGAGCCAGAGCTAGAGCTACCAGCATGGATATATCTCAAATGAGAAAAAAACTAGAGGCCTGAAGTGGCCCAAATGACAGCCTCTGTTATTTACACTACATATAAAAACATGCGGAGATGCTGATATAAGTGTGTGCAGTAAAAGAAAAAATGCATGGCATGAAAACACCCAGACTGAGGCCAGAGGTTCCTTTTGGGATGGGAAGGGAGTGGATTTGGAGTGTGGCATACAGAAGCTTCACATTTATCTGAAATGTTTTACTTATTAAAAAAAAAAAGTCCCTGGGTCGAGCATAGTGGCTCATGCCTGTAATCCCAGCACTTTAGGAGGCCGAGGCGGGCAGATTGCTTGAGGCCAGGAGTTTGAGACCAGCCTGGAGAACACGGAGAAACCATGTCTCTACTAAAAAGTATAAAAATTTGCCAGGTGTGGTGGTACACACATGTAATTCCAGCTGCTTGGGAGGCTGAGGCATGAGAACTGCTTGAGCCTGGGAGGCAGAGGTTGCAATGAGCCAAGATCATGCCACTGCACTCCAGCCTGGGCAACAGAGCAAGACTCTGTCTCAAAAACAAAAAAACAAAAAAACGAACCCTGAGGCCAGTATGACAGCATGCTGTTGAAGTCACATTTTGGGGTGCTTTGTTCAGGTTTAATGGCATTATTTTGTATGCTTCTCTGTATTCTTGAAGCTTTTCTTATCTCTTCTTTTTCTTTTGTTCATTTTTGAGACAGAGTCTCACTCTGTCACCCAGGCTGGAGTGCAGTGGCACGATCTCAGCTCACTGCAACCTCCACCTCCTGGGTTTAGGAGATTCTCCTGCCTCAGCCTCCTGAATAGCTGGGATTACAGGCACCTGCCACCATGCCCAGCTAGTTTTTGTATTTTTAGTAGAGACGGGGTTTCACTGTGTTGGCTACTCTCCAACTCCTGACCTCATGATCCGCCTACCTCAGCCTCCCAAAGTGGTGGGATTGCAAGTGTGAGCCACCTCACCTGGCCTTCTTTTCCCTTAGCTCAGGATTATCAACACTGCTACCTGTGAACCTGGCTGGGTGGATGTTGCACCTGTCTCTAATGTTTTTCATGCCCCTATTTTTATTTTTATTTTTTTGACAAGGTCTTGCTTTGTCACTCAGGCTGAAGTGCAGTGGTGCAGTCATAGCTTGCTGTAGCCTCAACTGCCTCAGCTCAAGCAATTCTCCAACCTCAGCCTCCCAAGTAGCTGGGACCACAGGCCTGAGCCACCACACCTGACTAATTTTTTTTTTTTCTGTAGCGACAGGGTCGCCCTATGTTGCCCAGGATGGTCTTGAGCTCCTGGACTTGGGGGATCCTCTTGCCTCAGCCTCCCAAAGTGCTAGGATTACAGGTATGAGCCACCATGCCTGGTGAAATTGGAGGATCATGCTCTTTCATGTAATTTCTGTTCTAAGATCTGCACGGTTGGTCCTGGACAGCCAAGTGAGCCTCTGTATCATCCAGTGTGAATGTGTTTATAATCTTTCTGTCCAACATTTTTCTTTACAAACATGAGTTCTTGAGAGAGAAGTGGAAAAATTATTTTGGTTGCTGCCTTTCCTAGACTGTAGCCAGTATTCTCAGGTCATTTTCAGCACTGTCTTTGGCATTGATACCTGTTTTCAAGGGGGTGGAATTGCTTCTTCAGGATTTCTTTGGTGGGCAAGGCTGGCTATAAGGCAGAATACTGGGTTCCTAATCCACCTCTACCACGAGCTCTCTGTGGCAAGTTGCTCTGACCCTCTCAGCCTCAAGGTCGTGAACAAGGAGGTTGGCCTGATGACCTCCAGTGATCCACCCACTCTGTCAGTCTGTGATTCTGTGAAGTGATGTAAAGGGCTGTAAGCCTCAGGCATAAACAGACAGCAGAGAGAAACTTAGCATACCCCACTCTGCCAAGAGAAGATACCCTGGCAAGCTGTGGTGGGATGAAAGTCAGAAAACTGCCTGAGCCAAGAGCTTCCCCACAGCCTGTTGTGCAGCTTACGCAGAACTCTCTGAATTATCCTCATTACATTTATGATGAAAATGCCTGTTAGGAAACTTACACGGGTCTGTGCTGTTTCCAAAGCATTTTTTCTATCTAAAAAATGCCCCTGTTTCTGTTGTTGTTGTTTTTGTGACAGGGTCTCACTGTCGCCCAGGCTGGAGTGCAGTGGCACAATCTTGGCTCACTGCAACCTCCACCTTCCAGGTTCAAGCGATTCTCCTGCCTCAGTCTCCTGAGTAGCTGGGATTACAGGCATGTGCCACTGCGCCTGGCTTTTTTTTTTGTTGTTGTTGTATTTTTAGTAGAAATGGGTTTCACCATGTTGGCCAGGCTAGTCTTGAACTCCTGACCTCAAGTGATCTGCCTGCCTGGGCCTCCTAAAGTGCTGGGATTACAGGCATGAGCCACTGTGCCCAGCTTCCTGTATCACCTTCTGATTGGCCCAGACATAAAAGTTTGGCTCTGCTGTGCCTCCCTGAACAGTCATCAAGCTGGAGGCCCTTGACGACTCAAACTTTCTATAGCTGGGCCATGATATATTTTCTAGAGCTGGGAGAAGGAGAGATATGTGGACAGGTGGGACTGGCTACCAAGCCTCCCCATTTGATCCCACAGGAAGCTCACCCCTGAAGGAGACCTGCTTGGGGCTTCCCAGAGGGGCAGATCCAGGATCTGGACACTGGTCACATGCCTTGTGTTCCAGGCTTTGTGCCTGAATTGCCACAGAGCCATCAAGATACCAAGGGTTCTGCTGACCCTTGCTATGTGAGGGCAGATGGGCCTTGGTGCCCAGGTGACCTGGTTAGATGAAAGTTAGAGTATGACAGGCCTTTGGTCTGGGAGAGGGCCAGTGGGGCGGGGGACTGGTCATAGTTTTGGTCACCAGTCCCAGGATCCAGGTGTCAGGGGCTACCTCCAGTGGCCCTTTTATGACAACTAAAGGAAGTCTTACTGTTCATAGCAAGGGTTCTCAGCTTGAAGTTCCTTGTACCTCTTTTAGGGAAGACAGTCAGATAGTATCTATCAAATATAAAATGACTTAGCAATTCTTCTCCTCAAAATGTATCATTTATTTACTTACCTAAAATCTATGGAGTGCTTACTATGTGCCAGACACTTTTTAAAGCTCTTGGGGTATCTGACTGCATGAACAGAAACACAAATCTCTGACCTTGCAGTCTCTTGGGAGTAGGGGAGATACATAAAAATAATAACAATAAATAGGTAAGTTTTAAAGCTTCGCTGTTTAAGACAGTAACTGCTAGTCAAATGTGGCTGTTTAAATTAATTAAAATTAGAATTACTTCTTCAAGCACCCTAGCCACATTTCAAGTTTTCAGTAGTTGTATGTGGTTCGTCATTACCATACTGGGCAGCACAAATATGGAACATTTCAGTCATTACAGAAAATTATATCAGACAGCACTAATCTAGAGTATATTAAAAGGCAAAATGTGCTATGAAAAAACATTGAAGATTTTAATTTTTGTTACTTATTTTATTTATTTATTTTTTGAGATGGAGTCTCTCTGTTGCCCAGACTGCAGTGCAGTGGTGCGATCTCGGCTCACTGCAACCTCCGCCTCCCAGGTTCAAGCAATTATCCTGCCTCAACCTCCCAAGTAGCTGGGATTACAGGCAAGTACCACCATGCCTGGCTAATTTTTTTGTATTTTTAGTAGAGATGGGATTTCACCATAGTGGCCAGGCTGGTCTTGAACTCCTGACCTTGTGATCTGCCCGCCTTGGCCTCCCAAAGTGCTGAGATTACAGGTGCGAGCCACTGCACCCTGCCCATTAGAGATTTTTAAAGCATGTTGCAGGGGTAGGCAGGAATTACTTTTTTTTTTTTTTTTTTTTTTTGAGATGGGGGTCTCACTTTATCACTCAGGCTGGAGTGGAGTGGCATGATCTCGGCTCACTGCAACCTCCGCCTCCCAGGTTCAAGTGATTCTTCTGTCTCAGCCTCCCTAGTAGCTGGGATTACAAGCGCCTGCCACCACGCCTGGCTAATGTTTGTATTTTTGGTAGAGATAGGTTTTGCCAGGCCGGTCTCAAACTCCTGACTTCAGGTGATGCACCTGCCTCGGCCTCCCTAAATGCTGAGATTACAGGTGTGAGCCACCACACCTGGCCAGAATTACAATTTTAAAGAGTATTTGTGGTGCACCTAATTTAGGAGCTTTTGAACAAAGATTTTAAGGAGGTAAGTGAATGAGTCTTTTTTTTTTTTTTCTTTTTTGAGATGGAGTCTCATTCTGTCACCCAGGCTGGAGTGCAGTGGCACAATCTCAGCTCACTGCAATCTCCGCCTCCCAGGTTCAAGTGATTCTCCTTCCTCAGCCTCCCGAGTAGCTAGGACTACAGGTGCATGCTGCCATGCCTAGCTAATTTTTGTATTTTTAATAGAGATGGGTTTCACCATATTGTTCAGGCTGGTCTCAAACTCCTGACCTCAGGTGATCCACCCACCTCAGCCTCACAAAGTGCTGGGATTCTAGGCATGGGCCACTGTGCCTGGCTGTGAATGAGTCCTGGAAATACCTAGGCGAAGAACATCCCAGGGCAGAGGACAGGCAGTGCAGAGGACAGGCAGTGCAGAGGCAGGAGCATACCAACTTGTGGAAGTGGTTATCGTGTACCAGGGGAGAGAAGCAGAAAAGAGGTAATGGGGGCAGGTCTCAAAAAGCCTCATAGATCACTGTGTTATTCTGCAGAAGTCTATAAGGATATAAATACACGAGTACAAAAATTTTCTTGCAGCATTGTTTGTAAGCAGCAAAAAATTAGAGGTGAGGTTGGGCATGGTGGCTCACACCTGTAATCCCAGCACTTTGGGAAGGTGAGGCGAGTGGATCACCTGAGATCAGGAGTTCAAGACCAGCCTGGCCAACATGGCGAAACCCTGTCTCTACTAAAAAATACAAAAATTAGCTGGACATGGTGGTATGTCCTGTCCTGTAGTCCTTACTACTCAGGGAGCTGAGGCAGGAGAATCACATTAACCCATGAGGTGGAGGTTGCAATGAGCTAAGATCACACCATTTTAATCCAGCCTGGGTTACAGAGTAAGACCCCATCTCAAAAAAAGAAAAAAAAAAATAGAGGTGAAATACATGATTATCACTGGGGAGTGGTGACATGTTCATGCAGTGGTTGGTGAGGATGAGGGTAAAAGGATGAGCGTTATAACCATGCATAGAAACCATTGTGGAGGCCAGGCCCAGCGGCTCACATCTGTAATCCCAGCCCTTTGGGAACCTGAGGCAAGAGGATTGCCTGGGCCCAGGAGTTTGATACTAGCATGGACAACATGGTGAGACCCCTGTCTCTACAAAAATTAACTGGGCAAGGCAGTGTGTACAGTAGTATGGTCTGCTCAGGAGGCTGAGGTGAGAGGATTGCTTGAGCCCAGGAGGTTGAGGCTGCAGTGAGCCATGATAGTGCCACTGCACTCCAGCCTGGAGGACAGAGTGAGAGCCTGTTTCTAAAAAGAATTCTGGGGCCAGGTGCGGTGGCTCACGCCTGTAATCCCAGCACTCTGGGAGGCTGAGGCAGGTGGATCACCTGAGGTCTGGAGTTCGATACCAGCCTGGCCAACATAGTGAAACCCTGTGTCTACTAAAAGTACAAAAATTAGCCTGGTGTGGTGGTAGGCATTTGTAACCCCAGCTATTCAGGAGGCCAAGGCAGGAGAATCTCTTGAACCCAGGAGGCAGAGGTTGCAGTGAGCTGAGACTGCGCCATTGCATTCCAGCCTCGGTGACAAGAGCGAAACTCCCTCTCAAAAAAAAAAAAAAAAAAAAAAAGAAAAGAAAAGAAAAGAAAAGCATTCTGGAGTCTGTAGGCTGCACCAAAAGGACCGTTATCCTCTACCAGAATAATGGCCCTGGGGCCCCTGGGAGTTAGGGTTTGAGGTGGCCCTGTGGCTTGTGCTGTCTCTTCTGCTGGAAGCAGCAAAGGCCAAGGGACTGTTTAGGTTCTCCGAGAACTCACTGCACTCTTCCTCAGCTCCCTAAACTCACACCAGCTGGGTAAGAGTCATCAGTGGGGAGGGAATGGCCAGAAGCTGAAAGCATAGCCTGTGGATCCAGGAATGGCCGGGATGTCTGGGCACAGAATGAGGATTTGTGCTCTTGGTACGAAAGAGACAGGATAGCTTCTTTGACAACCCTTCCTGTTGGCCCCTACCCCACCATGTTTCCCGGCAGAGAATGGTCAAGAACCTGGAGAAGGAACTAGCACTGCTCAAGCAGGAACTGGCCATCCATGACAGCCTGGTAAGGGGCAAGAGGCAAGGGAGGAAGGCAGAGGTGCTGGCACAGGGGCGACTAGAGGGACTGGGGCTAAGGGCAGACAGTATGATGGGTCAAGGCCAGTGGCAGGGGCGGGGCAGGCTGAGTGGCAGGAAAGGGGCAGCAGCAAGGGGCCATGAGGGCAGGGAGTTGGGACAGAGTCCTCCAATGGTCCTGAGTGGCCTCCAGGCAGAGGAAGCACATGCCTCCAGCTCCTCATGATTCTCATGGTGCAGAGTCTGCTGGGACTCAGCCAGCAGAGTCACTTTCTAGAGTAGCAGGCCCCATGTCTGAGGGCCTTTCCTTTCCTCCCCGACCCCGTTATCCTTCTCTGACCCAAGCACCTGGCCTGTGTGTCAGGCTGTCTGCCAGGAGCCAATGATGAAGGGAACGAGCCAGCTTGGGCAGCCAGGGACTATGCCCAGCCTCCCTACTTTGGCTCTCAGAACAGCTCCTGTCACTCCTGCGTGGGCTCAGGTTCTTGTTACTTATCCACATGTTCTTTATCCTTCTTCAAGACCAACCGCACCTTTGTGACCTATGACCCAATGGATGAAATCCAGATTGCTGAGATCAACTCTCAGGTGCGGAGGTACCTGGAGGGGACGCTGGATGAGATCGACGTAAGGAACCCTGCTGTGACCACTATGCTTAGCCAGCTTGGGCCTCCCTGTCCTGAGCACAGCCCAACACATGCTATACTGGCCTCAGAACCTCACATGAATGGGTACAGTGGATGGAGGGTGATGCTGGACTCTTGATGTCAGGGACCCTTCAGCACATCTCAGGGGCACAAGCACAAGCCCTAGAGCTGGGATTGAACCCCAGTTCAGCTGCCTCTTTGCTAAGTGACCTTGGCAAAATGCTCAACCTCATGTACTTTAGTGGCCTCACCTACCCATTGGGGAGGGATACGGAGCTGTGATTTACTGAGCTGCTGCACCTGGGGTGCTTGACTGTGCCTGCAGAATGAAGCTGAGAAAGGATGGTGGTCATGCTGGCTGTCTACAAGGTAGACTGCAGGACCCATGTTGAAGTAGGCCAAGGACGGAGAAACAGAGCCCCACAAGGAAGGGCCCTCAGGGGGAAGGCTGCATCCTGTTTTCATAGTACAGTCCATCAAACCCCTCTTCTTGGAGACATGGGGCAGACTCCCTGGCTGTTACTGTGGGCAGCTCCGAGAGGTGGGCCTGGGACAACTAAGGATGAACTCTTCTGGCCTTCACAGGAGAGGCAGTCCCAAATTAACCCTGATCAAGGGGAATGCTGTGGGCTTTAGGGCCGGGGAAAGACGGTTACCTTCCTCCAGCCGCATGTGTGTGTGTCTGTGCTCACGCAGACAGATCCATATATGGGCTCCATCCAAAGACAGCAGGTAGGACCTTTTGGAAGTAAGAGAAAGGTGAGGAAATAAATTTTATTAAAACAAAAAACAATAAAAAACTTTAGAAAGTATTTTCAAGGTAGAGAATCATTTTCATTTTATAGAGGTCTCCACTTAGAAGAGGTGGTTTTTATAGCCTCAGCAAATACACAGTTTTAAAATGATTAATCAGGTGTTTCTCTGCTCTGGAGGAGGGCTTGGCTGCCACTTTGCTGAGAGGCTGTGTGCAGGTGTCGTCTTCTCCAGACAGATGGTCCGGGGGTCAGCCAAGCAGTCTTGATTTCTCTACTAACATAGATGCAGCCTGCTCTCTCTAGGTGCTCTTGGTCTAGCCTCTGCCTTGCTCTCTTCCCTCCAGATAATCAACCTTAGACAGATCAAGGAGGTGTTCAACCAGTTCCGCGTGGTTCTGAGGTAAGAGACCCCCACCCCTGCCTCACTCCTACAATTAGGCCGCCATTTTTATCTCCTGTGGTCTGGGCACTTGCCTCCAAGGGTACCCCCTTCTTGCTTGTGGATGAAGAGCAAATCAGTCATTGGGGCATGCCTGGATCCCTGGTGAATATTCAGTGAGTTTATTAATTGGACAGGAGGTGTTTATGGAGTGTTAGCTCTGAGTGTGCGCAGAACAGGGCATTGTCAATATTCACCTTGTGAATATTGCCACACACACCCCCACCTCAGGAGGCATTTGTGGTTTATTTGGGTGCAAACATACCCATAGTCTAAGCAGCTTACGCTCACAAAAGGTGGTATTACAAAAGCTGGTCACATGATTCCAAGGGGTCTCTTAGAGACAGAACCTAAGACAGAACCCCACATGGTCCCAAGTGAAGCTTACAGTCCTTATCAAGTGTCATCTTGCAGCAGACACACATGGCATAAGGTGGCCCCCGTGGGTTTGGGGGTAGATGATGGGTGTATGCATTGGGGCAGAGGGAAATGAGTCCTTTGTCCTTTTGTCTAGTCTGGTTCATGATGAAGGTGTGGCCCCACACAAGGGACCTTGCCCATATGACTTTTAACCCCAGTACTTGGTTCTTGCCCCAGTGGATTCAGCATGGCCCCATGTACAAGCTGTTCTCTCATGCTGTCTCCCAAGCCAACAGGAACAGGAAGTGGAGTCCACTCTGCGCAGGAAGTACACCCTTATTGACAAGAATGACTTTGCAGCCATTTCTGCTGTCCAGAAGGTAAGCATAGTTGTCTCTTGCCAACAGCATTCAGCTCAGATTTTCCAACCTCAGACCTTTGCAAAGCCAGCAAGTATCATGCATTAAACCAGAGCTAGGATTGCAACAGATAAAGGTAACACCAGAATGAGCACAGGTGACCTGTATAAGAATAAACCACTTTTGAATTACAAATAATTTCCATAAGGTAGAGACATGGATAATAATATCAAAGCAAATTCCTGGAATTAGGTTGGAGATAAGCCTTAAGATACCCAGAGTATGGAATCACTATACTGGTGAGGGGGTGCATGTAGAAAGTGGACATTTGGCAGGGTGCTCAAGGACTGCTCTACTGGGGACAGCCTGAGGCTGGCATGAGCAGCAGCCAAACCTTGGTGTGTACGGTGAACATGTCTACTCTGAGCCTTGAGCCATATAAACATGGGCCCCCAAGGGGCCCAAACCTTAATCTAACTCACGGACTTTGGCTGGCCTCTCTACGCAGGCAGGGCTTGTGGATGTTGATGGCCACCTAGTGGGTGAGCCTGAAGGACAAAGCTTTGGACTCGGAGTCGCCCCTTTCTCTACCAAATCCGGAAAGAAAGCCAAGTCCAAGAAGACATCCAAAGAGCCGCTCAGGTGAGGGACTTTGCCACTCCGCCTCCTCGGCAGCTGGCCCTCTTTGGTGGGTGAATGGGAGAGCGTGTGCTGTTCCCACCTTCCCCCTGGTGTCTCAGCTACTGGGTTGGTGCAATGGACGCCACTCCTACCAATTCTAGTAAGTCTGTGGGGCCCAGGCTGGGGCTGGTTTGGAACCCCACAAGAATCACCTCTCCTCACATCAACTTGGTGAGGTGGGAGTTAATGTCTTCATTATACTGATGAGGAAACAGAGGCTTAGAGAGGGGAAGTCACTCACCAAGGCCATACCACCAATGAGTAGTAGAATGGCAGCAAGAAGCTGGACCAGCTCTCCAAAGCCCATGCTCTCTGGCACTTTATGTGGTACCCCCACCCCTCACTTCACCAGGGTCCTCCCACTGACTGGCACTCAGGTCACCTAAAACCCCAGTTCACCTTTCAGGCAAGACTGGTTTGTATGTGCAAGGTGAGAAGGGCACTTAGGTTCACTTAGTGAGCCTACTCTCCCAGGGTCCTGTGTAGTGATAGGTAAGAGCACAGGCTTCGGAGTTGACACTCGGGCTCCCCTCCCTGCTCTGCACTTCTCACACCCAAGGGGTCACCTCATGTGAGGCATGAGAACCGCTCTGTGCCTGTTTCTGCATCTCCAAAATGGGAATAATAATAATAGCATCCAACTCATTGGGGTTGTTGTGAGGATGAGTAAGTGAGCCTAGTTCCTGCACATGGGCCAGAGGTGATTGTAGAAAACTGTTACACGCAGGCTGAGAATCAGGCGGCAGAGGATGCCGGTGTCCCTGGCCTCCTCCTGCCTCTTCATGAGTAAATTCACACCCCAGCCCTCTCTGTTCTGCTGCCAGATAATCAGTGCAGTAGTCAGTGGGTTGAGGCTTAGTCCCCTGAGCCACAGTTGCTGCAAAAAGGAGCAAAGAGGAAGAAACGGATTATCCTTAGGCCTTTGGGAAGAGCCATGGGCATCCTCCTGCCAGTTTGGTCCTCAGATGTGCCTCTCCTGGGAGAAAGGCAGCAAGCACCATTGCTTTGGCAGGGAGGACAGCTACTTTTCTGGGAGCTGGTGTGGAGAACAGGGTGTGGACCAGTAAGCACAGCAGGGCAGAGCCATCCTGCTTTACCGTTGGTCCACAGACAGACCCACCCTGTGTGGGGCTCTGCCAGTCCTTCCCCAGGATGCTCAGATGACTCAGACCTCAGCAGCCGTGGTGGTTCCTGAGAACCTGTGGCCCATCCACAGGTCCATACACTTTCCATCCATGGATATTGTACTCAATTTTTCCCAAGCGTCTCCTGCCAAGACCACTGAGGGCTCCTTGTTCTGATAAAAGGGAGAAAACTGCCATCTTCTTTCTCCACATCTGCTCGGCTTAGCATCACACTATTTGCGCTTTTACCTGGGAATATGAACAAAACAGGAGCTAAGTGGGGTGGGCTCCCAGTGTAGTAAGTGCTGAGAAAGGTCATTCATCCTGGCATCTGAGATACCTCACTGCCCATGACTGAACCCTGGGGCTTTCCTGCCTTCTCTTTCCAGCTCCTCAGCAAAAAAGGAAGGTGCCAGCAGCCCTGTGAGTGCCAAGGACTTGGATATGGTTTCCACCTCCAAGACCCAGTTGGTCCCATCCTCCAAGGATGGGGATGTCAAAGACATGCTTTTGCGGGACCGGGAAACCTCCAGCATTGAGCCCCCTCCCTCGGACTCCCCCAAGGAGGAATTACGCCCAATTAGGTAATCAGCTAATGTTAGCTTCTGCACCAGATCGAACAAAACCAGTATGTGATCCTCAACATGTAAAGAGTGCCTGCAGATAGAAGAGAAATAAAATAAGAAATAGGCCAGGTGTGGTGGCTCATGCCTATAATCTTAGCACTTTGGGAGGCCAAGGTAAGCAGATCATTTGAGGTCAGGAGTTTGAGACCAGCCTGACCAACATGAAACCCTGTCCCTACTAAAAATACGGAAAAATTAGCTGGGCGTGGTGGTGCATGCCTGTAGTCCCAGCTACTTGGGAGGCTGAGGCAGGAGAATCGCTGGAACCCAAGAGGCAGAGGTTGCAGTGAGCTGAGATCACACCACTGCACTCCAGCCTGAGTGACAGAGCAAGACTCTGTCTTAAAAAAAAGAAAAAGAAAAAGAAAAAAAAAGGAATAATAGGTAAAGACTAAGAGCACAGTCCCCAAAGAAGAAACATGATGACTTATGCACCTGCAAAATGATCTAACCTCAGGAGTCATCCAAGATGCAAGATGCACAATTAAATATGGAATCATTTTAGACCCTCCAGTTAGCAATTATTTAAATAAAGTTACGTATCTTTTGTACAAGTACTGCATTCAAAAGATTAAACTTTTTTTTTTTTTTTTTTTTTTTTTTTTTGAGACGGAGTTTCACTCTTGTTACCCAGGCTGGAGTGCAATGGCGCCAACTCGGCTCACCGCAACATCCGCCTCCTGGGTTCAGGCAATTCTCCTGCCTCAGCCTCCTGAGTAGCTGGGATCACAGGCATACACTACCATGCCCAGCTAATTTTTGTATTTTTAGTAGAGACGGGGTTTCACCATGTTGGCTAGGATGGTCTCGATCTCTTGACCTCGTGATCCACCCGTCTCGGCCTCCCAAAGTGCTGGGATTACAGGCATGAGCCACCGCGCCCGGCCCAAGATTAAACATTTTTAATGTATGAAAGAATATAACCTCTTCCCTTTTCTTGAATCACTCAGCCCCTCTCCCTGATGAGTTTTTAAGGATCTATCCTAAGGAAATAGAGATGTAAAACATGATCTATACCACGGACACTTATTTCATCACTTATTTAAAAAGCATAATTATACATTTTTGAAACATCTTCAGTAACCAATACTAGGGAAAGGGCACTAAGTGAATTGTTCTCCGCCATTGGGTTGTACATGAAGAATTTCAGCCTCTGAACATTTCTAAACATTCAGAGGAGTTGAGATAATTGTACAGCAAACACCTGTGCACCAAGCATCCTCCCAGTTCTACAATTTACATGTTACTCTGCTTGTTTCATTATGCCTCTATCCTTCTATCCCTCCATGTTATTTTTTTATGTATTTCAAAGTTGCCCACATCAGTCTGCTTTCCCTTGCCCCAACACTTCACCTTACACTCAAAAAAAGGAAGATGTAAAATTAAACATATTGCATGGCCTCAACCATTCAAAAGTATATCAAAGAGGCCAGGACCGGTGGCTCATGCCTGTAATCCCAGCACTTTGGTTAGCCAAGGCAAAAAGATTGCTTAAATCCAGAAGTTGGAGACCAGCCTGGCAACATAGTGGGACTCCATCTCTACAAAAAATCAAGCTGAGTATGGGAGCACATGTCTGTAGTTCAAGCTACTCAGGAGGCTGAGGTGGGAGAACTGCTTGAGCCCAGGAGCTCAAGGCTGCAGTGAGCTATGATCAAGCCAATGAATCCCAGCCTGGGCAACAGAGCAGGACCCGGTCTCCAAAAATATATATCTATATATATACAGATACATATATATGCTTATAAAAGAAATCCAGAAGGAGATACACCACCGTATGCCATTGTATGGTTGTCAATAGGTAGTAGGTGGTTTTTTTCTTGTTTGTTTCTTATACTTTTCCTTGCTTTCCTTCCTTTTTCTGCCATGGGCATGTGTCCTTGTACATGTGCTGAGTAAATCAAAGAGGGGGGAGTGATTCCTACACAGTATAGCTCCTGTCTGGGGTCAGTGGTCTCTAGCACTTCTGCCTCCTGCCCACAGAAGCCCCAGGGAAGAAAGATGAAGTGCCTGGTGGCCCTAAGGCAGCCACCTCATTTATCCTCCTTGGCCTCACCCTTGTGTCTCCAGGCCCGACACCCCACCCTCCAAACCAGTGGCCTTTGAGGAGTTTAAGAATGAGCGAGGTAGTGAGATCAACCGCATTTTCAAAGAAAACAAATCCATCTTGAACGAACGGAGGAAAAGGGCCAGCGAGACCACACAGCGCATCAATGCCATCAAGCAGGAGATTGATGTGACCAAGGAGGCCCTGAATTTCCAGAAGTCACTACGGGAGAAGCAAGGTAAATGTGATGAAAAGATGGCTAGGGAGCTTTGAGGTCTCAGAGTCATGCTGCTTGAAGCAGGACAGCCGTGGGCACTGGAGGACTGAGATGGGAGGGGGGCAGCGGGGGTGCTGGAGTGTGGCCTCGACCCATGGGTCAGATCACTTAGCTGTGGTTAGCTCCTGAGAGCCACAGGGTCCTTCCCTGTCAGCCAGCCTCTGCCTATGGGTCCCTCATTGTTGCATTATCTCAGACCTAGCTGCTGGGCCTTCCACCTGATGTGTGCTACTGTCCACGGTGAAACAGGCCCTTGGTCCTGCAGAGGTATCCCTGGGAGATGATGGGTAGCTGTTGACTTCTACAAGGTCCGTGGGTCCTGGTGTCATTTCCTCACTGCCCCAGGTGGTTAGATCGAGGTGGGGCTGCTGGTAGGGACTATGAAAAACCAAGGAAGGGAACAAGAATGTGGATGCCAGAGAGCCAAGGGACTCACTATCAGTAAGGCCATTCCCTATGCCGAATCCCTGACACCTGTGCTGGTCTGTCAGTGTCTTGTCTCCTACGGCAGGTGGCAGGGAGTGCTCCAGGCTCAAAGAACAAAGGACCCCAGTGTGGGGAGAGTGCACACCTGGTTACTCTGACCCAGTGTCCCTGTCCCAGTGGCATGTACTGCCCACAGCACTAAGGGCCAAGGCCCATCAAGCTTGCCTGTTCAGACAACTTATCTGGGAGGGCTGATCAGGTGCAGATTCCTAGCCCCTCAGCCAGTGGTTCTGACTCAGGAGATAAGGAGCAGAGCCCAGGACCTGCATTTTGATGAGTGACCATTCCAACTCTGGGGCAGGTGGTTCAGAGGCCACACTGTTCTTCACATTCCTGGCTCAGTCTTATTGTCTTCTTCTAGATAGGAAACACCATAGGCTACTGGGCTTTCCCTTGCTAAATCACAACCCTGTTCCAGGCCAGCTTTCATGAGTGATCTCTAGATGTCACCTAGTTTATTCCTGCAAGTCAGATGGATCATCTCACAGGGGGTTCATTTTACTCATTTGTTTTCTCAAAGGAGCAGGGTGTGGTGGTACACATGTGTAATCCCAGCTTCTTGGGAGGCTGAGGCACAAGAATTGCTTGAACCCAGGAGGCAGAGGTTGCCGTGAGGCAAGATTGCACCGTTGCACTACAGCCTGGGTGAAAGACCAAGACTGTCCTGGAAAAAAAAATTAAAAAATTGATTCTCAGAGGGCAACTTTGTTTTCTGATTCTTGGGGCCACTCTATTTTTTTTTTTTTTTTTTTTTTTTGAGATGGAGTTTTGCTCTTGTTGCCCAGGCTAGAGTGCAATGATATGATCTCGGCTCACCGCACCCTCTGCCTCCCAGATTCAAGCAATTCTCCTGCCTCAGCCTCCTGAGTAGGTGGGATTACAGGCATGCACCACTGTGCCCAGCTAATTTTTGAATTTTTAGTAGAGATGGGGTTTCTCCATGTTGGTCAGGCTGGTCTCAAACTCCCAACCTCAGGTGATCCTCCCGCCTTGGCCTCCCAAAGTGCTGGGATTACAGGTGTGAGCCACCATGCCCGGCCAGGGACCATTCTTATCACACCTCACAGACCAATTATGACATGCTATTCCTGAGGGCAAAGCCCTCCACAGGTCTGGGAAGCTGGAGCCAGTGACGGTGGCTGTAGACGGACTCCTATCCAGAACGACAGGGAGAGAACATAGTGAAGGTCTTATGGGACAAACACACATTTCTTTGTCCTCTCTGCTCAAACTTTCTTTCAACATACAGCCCTTTATTACATATTTGAGATAAAATATAGGCATGCTATGCTGGCATATCATTTACTCCTAAATATACCTGAAAGTGGACATTTTCAAAGGATGAGATGAGGAAGACATAAAATTTTTTTTTAATATTTAAAATTTTATCTATCAGTATCAAAAAAAACCATTTTTGTTCTGTCCCCTAAAAGTAGTTATTTTTCCAATGATTATTAAAATATTACTAAAATACCTTTATTTTATTGAATGTACTTGAACAGATCAAGTAAATTTGTTTTTAAATATATCTTCTGGCCGGGCGTGGTGGCTCACACCTATAATCCCAGCACTTTGGGAGGCTAAGGCAGTTGGATCACGAGGTCAGGAGTTTGAGACCAGCCAGACCAACTGGTGAAACCCCATCTCTACTACAAATACAAAAATTAGCTGGGCATGGTGGCGCATACCTATAGTCTCAGTTACTTGGGAGGCACAGTGAAAGGATTACCTGAGCCCAGAAGGTTGAGGCTGCAGTGGAGCCATGCTCATGCCATTGCATTTCAGTGTGGGTGACAGAGTGAGGCCCTGCCAAATCAATCAATCAATCAATCAGTCAGTCTACTAGATACCTTATGATTGATGGCCCCTTGTTGACCCAGAAAGGTCAATATATTTGAAACATTAGTCTTTTGTAAAAGAAAAATGCAAAAGTGCAAGGCACATGCTTGTAATCACACCTATTTGAGAGGCTGAAGTAGGAGGATCACTTGAGGCCAGTAATAAAAGAAAAAGAAACAAAAGAAAAATGTAAAAATGTAAAATATAAATGCAACTCTTTTTTTTCCCTGGAGATAATCAGAGATCCTCTGAGTAGAACAAAAGATGTTCACAGTCACTTCCCATCTCAGCAGAGTACTGTAAAAACTCTACTCTGTAAAGGATTGTGGCTTATTCAGATAATCACATCAGGGACCTCCCACAGCATAGAGACCACAGCAGATTGCTTTGCATTGAAGGTGAGATACCTGGTGAGGGTGACTCCCAGCCCCCACTGCAGATCCCAGATCCCAGAGTCAAGACACTTGCTTTTCCATTAATGGCATTGTGACTTTTAATGTGTCTTACTTTTTCTCAATAAACATCAGTAGAAGTGCTAACACTTTCCTCTAGCACCTGGGGTCTGCCTCATGCACCCCAGCCACACAGCTCAAGTCACACCAGAACACACTTGCTCCCTACTTGGGGATGGGAGTTGATGTGATGCCTTTGCTAAGCTTTCAGGTGCTGTGGGCAGTGGAGAGTAGGATGAATGGCTTTGCACACTGTATTATTTTGTCTTAACCCAACAACTGTCACTGAACTGACAGACCTTAGAAGATACATGCACAGAGACTAATAGCGCCGACCCTTGTCCCTGGAGTCCTTTGACAGCCACTCAACATGATATAGATGTCTAATCATCTCTAACAAGAAGGTAGCTGGTGAGCTGTGCATGTTGGCTCATGCCTGTAGTCCTAGCACTTCGGGAGGCCAAGGTGGGCAGATCACCTGAGGTTAGGAGTTTGAGATTAGCCGGGCCAACATGGTGAAACCCCATCTCTACTAAAAATACAAAAATTAGCTGGGCATTGTGGCACACGCCTGTAATCTCAGCTACGCAGGAGGCTGAGGCAGGAGAATCGCCTGAACTGGGAGGCGGAGGTTGCAGTGAGCTGAGATTGTGCCAGTGCACTCTAGCCTGGGCAGCAAAGCAAGACTCTATCTCAAAAAGAGGAAAAAAAAAAAAAAGTAGCTGCTGGATGTGGAAATCAGCAAGGGACAATTTGAATATCTGCTGTTATTACTAAGGAGCCTTGCCCAAGTGCCTTGTAGTACTAGCAGTGAAGGCTATTTGTAGATGTAATTTACAAGAAAAATAGACATTTGTATACTTGGGTTGCTTACTAAATATCTTTGGCTAATAGAATTTTAAATAAAATAAGCATGGAGCATGAGCCTTCCGCACCTTCCCCTGCCCTTCCCTCCTGTTTGTCCTAAAATGCCAGTGTGGCCCCACTGAGCTGAGCTCCCCTCTGTGTGAGACATGCCCTGGAAGCCTGGCCTTCTTGTCCTTTGCCCATCTCCTTGCCATGGCCTAGTCCTGCCTGTGGTCTCCCATCTTCATGATTTGTCAGCTTTGTGCCCACTCTCTGGAATGCCTTCCTCCCCCAACCCCAGGTGGACACTTCCTCATTTCCTGACCTCTTCCATCACCTTGCAGGCGAGTATGAAAACAAAGGGCTGATGATCATCGATGAGGAGGAATTCCTGCTGATCCTGAAGCTCAAAGACCTCAAGAAGCAGTACCGCAGCGAGTACCAGGACCTGCGTGACCTCAGGGCTGAGATTCAGTACTGCCAGCACCTAGTGGATCAGTGTCGCCACCGCCTGCTTATGGGTGTGACAGTTGGGAAGGTTGGCTGGCCACCTGAGGTACAGAGAGGCTCAGGGCAAGGCCACAGCCTGAGTTCTGGAAGTGCCCTCAGAGTTTCTCTCTGGCAGAGGCAGGGGCTGGGCAGGGGCTTTAGATGTTTGGTTCCCAGGAGTGTGAGGGCCAGAGATGGAGATGGGGACAGGGCGAGACTAGGAAGTGAGCAGTTGGTGGGCCTGTAACAGGTATAAGACAGATGAGATCACACAGCCCTTACCAGCTTCCTCAGTTCTGTCTCCTTGCCTCCTTGTAGAATTTGACATCTGGTACAATGAGTCCTTTGTCATCCCTGAGGACATACAGATGGCACTGAAGCCAGGCGGCAGCATCCGGCCAGGCATGGTCCCTATGAACAGGATTGTGTCTCTGGTGAGCAGCACAAGGGCAGGGGCATGGCAGTGGTTGAGCATGGGGCATGGACAGTGCTCCTTGAACTCTGTTCTGGCCACAAACATGGCAGTGTGTGTGGCGCTCCCAGCCTTTCCACAGCCAACCCAGGCAGGTGAGCAGGCATAGCTCTCTCCTCAGTTACCAAAGGATGAGGGAAAATACCACTCTTGCTACTGCCATGTTTCTAAAGCAGTTCATCCTGTTCAGGCAGCAGTTACAGGTTGTCTGTGGGGATACTGACAGATGGGGGCTGGAGGGTTGTGAGATGCCCTGGTGGGGGGCAGCACAAGCCCAGCAAGGGACAACCCTGGTGCCCACCATGGGCCCTACCAGGGTGTATCCTGACAATGCCATGCTAAAGGGACTGTCCTCCCCCAGGGAGAAGATGACCAGGACAAATTCAGCCAGCTGCAGCAGAGGGTGCTTCCTGAGGGCCCTGATTCCATCTCCTTCTACAACGCCAAAGTCAAGACAGAGCAGAAGGTAACTCTGAGGCCTATGTCTCCAGGAGGATGGGGGCCTCAGTGACCTTATTACAAACCCAGGATCATAATACTTACTTCAGAGAGGTAGGGAAGGAATGGTGCCATTCCAAGAAGATCAGTCACCCTCAGTGAGTGTCGTCTGCCAACTCGACTGCAATTGGGCTGGATCCTAGAGGGGTCCCACTGACCATGGCTTGGCCTGGACATGGCTGGTGAGTGCTGACTAGCCTGTGTATGGTTCACAGCACAAGGCCCAGGGATCCCCTGAGGCTTCCACCTGTCAGGGAGAACCTTCCCTACAGGGACCACTCTGCATAGGTGCCAGGGGACAGAGGATCACATGCAGCTGAGACATAGCTAGACATGGGCATTAGCTGTGGATTGGGTGGGATACTCTCCTCCCAGAGCAGATTAGGCTGGAGCAGAGGGTCTTCACTCTACTAAGGCCCAGCCCAGAGCCAGAACTCAGAGGGCCCTGTGTGCTGCACACTCCTCTTTGTGCAGAGAAAGTGCTTATACGGCAAGTGGCAGATGCACATGGGGCAGATGCCCAAGTGAGTTCATTCTTCTACAAATATTTTTGTAGTTATTTATTAACATATTCAATAGGTGATACATTCAGGTGTTTTAAACATTAGGAAAGCATGAAACCAGGCGCGGTGGCTCACGCCTGTAATCCCAGCACTTTGGGAGGCCAAGGCAGGTGGATCATGAGGTCAGGAGTTTAAGACCAGACTGGCCAACATGGTGAAACCCCATCTCTACTAAAAAATACAAAAATTAGCTGGGCATTGTGGCTCGTGCTTGTAATCCAAGCTGCTTGGGAGGCTGAGATAGGAGAATTGCTTGAACCGGGACCCATGAGGCAGAAGTTGCAGTGAGCGGAGATGGTGCCACTGCACTCCAGCCTGGGCTACAGAGAGAGAGACTCCATCTCCAAAAACAAACAAACAAACAAACAAACAAACAAAAAAAAACCGAACAACAAAGAAAAGAAAGCATGAAAGTACGTGGCCAGGTGTGGTGGCTCACGCCTGTAATCCCAGCAATTTGGGAAGCCAGTGTGGGTGGATCACTTGAGGTCAAGAGTTCAAGACCAGCCTGGCCAATACAATGAAACCCCATCTCTACTAAAAATACAAAAAAATTAGCCAGGCATGGTTGCAGGTGCCTGTAGTCCCAGCTATTTGGGAGGCTGAGGCAGGAGGATAGTCTGTGCCTGGGAGGCGGAGGTTGCAGTGAGCCAGCACATAGTGGATCAGTGTTACCGCCTGATCCACTAGGTGGTGGTGGAACCCCGCTTCTACTAAAAATACAAAAAATACAAAAATTAGCCAGGCACGGTGGCACTGGCCTGTAATCCCAGCTACTTGGGAGGCTGAGGCAGGAGAATCACTTGAATCTGGAGAGGCAGAAGTTGCAGCGAGCTGAGATTGCACCACTGCACTCTAGCCTGGGCGACAGAACAAAACTCCATCTCAAAACAAAACAAAACAAAACTCCCAGATGATGTTCATGCTGCTAGTCCAGGACCACACTTGGAGTAGCATGCTTAGAGGCTTTACCTTAGAACCTACTCTTTATTAGGTTGAAGACTTTCTCTTCTATTCCTATTCATTGAGTGTTTTTTTTTCCTCTCAATCATGAGAGGGATATTGGAACCATTATCTTTTTGCATACTGCATCCCTTTCCTTTCTATTCTCACTCCTAGGACTCTGATTAGATGTATTTTATTTCATTCTGTCTTCTGTATCTTTTAAAATCTCCCATGTTTCTTCCAGCTCCTCATCTCTCTATGTTGTAATTTAGATAATTTTTTTTTTTTTTTTTGAGATGGAGTTTCACTCCTTTGCCCAGGCTGGAGTGAAGTGGTGTGATCTTGGCTCACTGCAACTTCCACCCGCTGGGTTCAAGCGATTCTCCTGCCTCAGCCTCCCGAGTAGCTGGGATTATAGGTGTCCACCACAATGCCTGGCTAATTTTTTTTTTTTGAGATGGAATCTCACTCTGTCACCCAGGCTAGAGTACAGTGGCACAATCTCGGCTCACTACAACCTCTGCCTACCGGGTTCAAGCAATTCTATTGCCTCAGCCTCCCGAGTATCTGGGACTATAGGCGTGTGCCACCCTGCCTGGCTAATTTTTATATTTTTAGTAGAGATGAGGTTTCACTGTGTTGGCCAGGCTGGTCTTGAACTCCTGACCTCAGGTGATCCACCTGCCTTGGCCTCCCAAAGTGCTGGGATTAGAGGTATGAGCCACTGTGCTTAGCCTGGGTAACTTCTTTAGATTCCTACTTTAGTTTATTAACACACTTTTAGTTATGTCTAATCTCCTATGTCTAAATATTGTATTAGGTTCTCCTTCAAATATGCTTGGTCTTATTTTTTTTTTCTTTTTAATTAAAAAAATGTTTTTCTTGGATTTATCCCTTTAACAACAACAACAACAACAACAACAACAAAAAATAAAATTAAAAAAATAAAAACAATTTTAAAAAATAGAGACAGGGTCTCCCTCTGTTGCCCAGGCTGATGTCCAGTTCCTAGACTCAAGGGATCCTCCTGCCTGGGCCTTACAAAGTGCTAGGATTACAGGCATGAGCCACTGCACCTGGCCTTTTTTTTTTTTTTTTTTTGATATGGTCTTGCTGTTGTTACTCAAGCTGGAGGGAGTGTAGTTCCAGTGATAGGATCATAGCTCACTGCAGTCTTGATATCCTGGGCTCAAGCAATCCTCTCACCTCAGCTTCCCAGAGTACTGGGATCATGGGTGTGAGCTAGCTAGTTATTTAAAATAAATTCTTATTTTATGCTTTTTAAAAAGCATTATTGAGATAGAATTTGCATACCATACAATTCCCCCATTTAAAATGTGCAAACTTGCCAGGCATGGTGGCTCATGCCTGTAATCCCAGCATTTTGGGAGGCTGAGGTAGGCAAATCACTTGAGATCAGGAGTTCAACACCAGCTTGGCTAACATGACGAAACCCCATCTTTACTAAAAACACAAAAACTAGCCAGGGACGGTGGTGCACACCTGTAATCCCAGCTACTTGGGAGGCTGAGGCAGGAGAATCCCTTGAACCTGGCAGGTGGAGGTTGTAGAGAGCCAAGATCACACCGCTGTACTCCAGCCTGGATGACAGAGTGAGACTCCGTCTCAAAAAAAAAAAAAAAAAAAAAAAAAAATCTAAATCATTAAGCAGAGAAATCCTGTATTTCTACAGGCCAAAATTCTATTCTCTCATCATTCTCCAATCTCTAGAATTCTCTGTATTGGCCATTTTTAATGTTTAAGATATACCCTTCCTTCAGCACCTCTTGGGTAAAAAAGAAAAAAGAAATTAAAATAAAGGTATGCTCACACACAAACTTTTCATGCAGATGTTATACTTGAACTATTCCATGTTCTTTTGATTCTGTGTTATAGTTATTTAAATATATATTTTTAATGTAAGAAATATATAGATCATATTTTTCATGGTCAAAATCTGTTTCCTGTTTTACTGAGTCTCATGGTGGCTTGACGGTGGTGTGTGTGTGTGTGTGTGTGTGTGTGTGTGTATGTACTGAAATCATGAGCTTGTGTTTGATTGAACTGAAGCTCAAGGAGACCTGAACACATACATTGAGATTACTTTCCTTCTAAAAAGGTCTGCACTTGCTTTCTCTAGTTAGCCATGGGGTATTACCAACCCAGGACCATTTTAACCCTCTCCAAGAATTCTGATTTAATATGAGAACTTCAATTTAGACTTTTACTTTGTGGGGAACCTAAGATTCATATCCATGTTCCAAGCTAGTTTTATCATTTGGCGCCTTACAGCCCATTGTTTCTGTTTCAGCCCAGTGTTTTCACCTGCTTTCTAAGAGCCTAGTGATGCATTAAGAAGGTATAAGTTATGGACATCCAGTTGATTGCAGTGGCAGAGAGAGGGCCCTTCCCAATACCTAGCCCCTAATTCCTTTGGAGATAGAACCCTCTTCTTTTCCTTTGAATCTATTACCTGTCAGAAACTCTCAAGCATGCCCTTGAAACCTACATGCCTCCTTTCAAATATGCCTGCCAGACTGTTTTAAAACAGTTTTACACACTTTCTTTAGGATAAAAGAATGAAAGAGTTTGAATGGAATGTTATTTCCCACAGAATTGGGGCTACTCAGAAGGAATCCTTGTTCACAACCCGTGATGTTTGCAGGAGTAATGATAGGGTGAATGTGAGTAGCCTGGTCTGAGTCCCTGCTAAGTCTATCCCTCCTAATCAGTTCCTGTTTTCTCCTCCCTCTGTGTCCAGCATAATTACTTGAAAACCATGATGGGCCTCCAGCAGGCACATAGAAAATAGAGCCTCATCACCAGTACCTTAAAGGACAAGACCAGCAACCCCAGCCCGCTGTAGTGGAGCTGCTCAAACACCTGCCCACAGCTGCAGCCCCTCTACTCCAAGGCTGGGACTCAGCACAGAGAACAGACATGGCCTGCCTGCTGGGAGAAGCATCCTCCAAGGACACCCTTGCTCATCTCCACAGAGCACTTTTGGTTTTAATTCACTGTCTTACATGTAGGGACAGGATAAAATAACTTTCTAGTTTGGACTTTTAGTGCTCATCTAAGAACTTTGTCTTATTTCCTCTCTGAAAGGACATCTTCTCTATGTATGTGTGAGGTCAGAACTGAGTCTCAAGTAGGAAAGCAGAAAAGTAGCTGAGCCAGGCTCCTCCTAGTAGACCTTTGTCCCATTGGTCAGCCTTTTTCCTGGATAGACATCCTGGGGTGGGGGTGGTGAGCTTGTGTGAGGAGCTCTGCTTCTCACAGCTCCCTCAGACCCTAAGTTCCCTCAAGACATCTTTTCTGTGTTTCTGAGCCAGTGAAGACAGTAGGAGGCCCTCCTTCATTTGGCAACTAGGGGAGGATAAGGTCTAGTCACTGAGCCCAGAAAGGGATCAGGCAGAGCTGGCTCCATGTACCAGGAAATGAATGAACAGCTTCTGGGAGACCATGTCCTCTGTGTGTTCCCAGAACACCACGGCCTTCCGTATGCAGCATGTGCGGCCACAAGGCACCAGGGTGCCTCCCCTCCCCAATTTCTCTCTCTTTGTAGGCTGTGCTAAGCACAAGTGAGAGTGGGCGATCTACCCTGAATAGGAACTGGGATCACTGTCAGGGCTGGACAGGGAAGAGAGAAGATATCACTCTCTAGTCAAGTTCTGAGGCTGCAGTTTGAGCTCTTGGTGGCAGCACCAAAGGGAAAGAGTTCACTACTTTGCTCAGAAACAAACTCAGGCCCTCTGGGGCCTTCCAGGCTGACTAATATGCCCCTGGGTTGGTAAACTGAGTCTCCACTGAGTGAAAAGTTTCAACGCTTCCTTGGAATTACATCTCACCCCTCTTCTGTTCTTGTGGGCCAAGGCCTTGGCCTGGCACTCTGTGGGTGATCCCCCATCTGATGCCTTCATCAGGACCTTGAGGTTGCCGTTATTCTTCCAACAGTGGGAGAGGAGGTTCTGCTCACCTGGCAGCCCTGTCATGGGAAGCTATGAGAGAAATCACATCACTTCTGGTGGGTGATGTCCAGCTCTGGAACTAAAGTATAACATTCTTCTAAATACAGTTGACCTTTGAGGCCAGGCATGGTGGTTCATGCCTGTAATCCCAGCACTTTGGGAGGCTAAAGCGGGTGGATCACTTGAGGCCAGGAGTTTGAGACCAGCCTGGCAAACATGACGAAACCCTGCCTCTACTAAAAATACAAAAACTAGCCAGGTGTGGTGGTACACGCCTGTAATCCCAGCTACTTGAGAGGCTGAGGCACAAGAATTACTTGAACCTGGGAGGTGGAGGCTGCAGTGAGCTGAGATCACACTGCTGCACTCCAGCCTGGGGAACAGTGAGATTCCGTCTCAACAAAAAGAAAAAAGAAATACAGTTAACCCTTGAACAACACAGGTTTGAAATGCACAAGTCTACTTATACATGGGATTTTTTTCAACCAAAGGTGGATTGAAAACACAGTATTCAAGGGATGTGAAATCTGCATACGTGGAGAACCAGCTTTTTGTATATATGCAGGTTCCACAGGGCCAAGTGCAGGACTTATGCGTGGATTTTGGTATATGCAAGGGGCTCTGGAGCCAATCCTGCATGTATACCAGGGGATGAGTGTACAAAGTAAAATTTGCAAGAAAGAAAGGGAACTGTCAGGAGCTAGAGATAAAGGAGGAACTGAAAACTATAGTGATCAGAATGTGAATGAACTGGCGATGGCTTGTAGGGACCAGGAGAAAGTATGTGAGCGCATTGTTACTCTTGAGGGTTAAATATCCACATATGTGTGAGAAATAAGACTTCAGCTCATGCCAGGTAGGAAGCTGGAAATGGGGCTGCCTGAATAAAGATGGTACCCTGAAGGCTTCATCACTGGTGAAGAGGTAAGCTAGAAAACCAAATGTCTAATTGTCTCCCTAAACATGCTTTACCCATGACCTTCTTTAGCTTAATTGCTTAGTTTTGTACTTCATCCCTCTCTCCTCTCACACCCCATGCTGAATCTGTCCAGAGATTCAGTAGGCTTTACCTTCTTACTATATTCAAAATCTGACCACTTCTTCTTACCACTTGCAACAGCTTTTTGTCTCCTGGCTTCCCCTTTTGCTCTCTATTTTCAGAACAGCAGCCTGGCTCAACTTTTTTTTTTTTTTTTTTTTTTTAGAGGCAAAGTGATACTCTCTGTTGCTCAGGCTGGAGTGCAGTGGCATGATCCTAGCTGACTGCATCCTCGAACTCATGGGTTCAAGCAATCCTTCCACCTCAGCTTTCAGAGTAGGTAGGATTACAAGTGTGGGCCACCATGTCTGCCCCTGGTTGACCTTCTGAAATATGTTAGATCACATTACACCTCTTCTCAAATTTTTAATGGTTTCCTATTTTGCTCAGAGTAAAACCCAAGTCCTTAAACCTTTCACAAGAGACTATATAATCATGACTCCTATGATTTCTCTACTCTCATGTCATCTACTCTCCCCTTGCTCACTCTACTCCAGCCACGTGGGCTTCCTTCCTTTTCCTCCCAACATGCCAGATAGAAAACTCCTGCTTCAGGGCCTTTGCAATGGCTATTTCCTCTGCTAAAACATTCTTTCCCTGTGTGTCCACGATTCACTGAAGTCCTTGCTTAAATGTCACTTTTTTTTTTTTTTTTTTTTTGAGATGGAGTTTCACTTTATTTCCAGGTTGCTGAAATGCAGTGGCATGATCTCGGCTCACTACGACCTCTGCCTCCCAGGTTCAAGCATTTCTCATGCCTCAGCTTCTAAGTAGCTGGGATTACAGGCATGCACCACCATGCTCAGCTAATTTTTTTGTATTTTTTTTTTTGATAGAAACGGCTTTTTCACCGTTGGTCAGGCTGGTCTCAGCCTCCTGACCTCAAGTGATCCACTCGCCTCAGTCTCCCAAAGTGCTGGGATTATAGGCATGAGCCACCAGACCCAGGTTTATGTCACATTCTATAGGAGATGCTGTCATGCCTTGACCAGCATCCCTTGCACTTGCCATTCCTACTCATGGCTTCCTACTGAAAGCATCTGCAACTTTCCACATAAAGGCTTTGTCTACATAGGTGCTCATCTGCTTCAGGGTAGCTCCAAATGCCAAGGAGTTAAGGACACCTTTAGGAGCAACCCCTAACCAATGAATCAGTGGATTAGCATCTCAGCATTCTCCCCTTTGGGTAAAACAACTCCTCTGGGGCATGTTTTCCACGAAATAGAACTTTCCCAGGACTTCCCAGCATAAACACACAAATTCACACACACATGAATGGAGCCAAAGAAAAAAATAGTTGCTATATTGTTATTGGGCTTGTCAATGAAATGATAACATCTTAAAATATTTAGGCTGGGCACAATGGCTCATAACTATAATCCTGTCACTTTGGGTGGCTGAGGTAGGAGAAATGCTTGAGCCCAGAAGTTAGAGACCAGACTGGGCAACATCGCAAAATCCCATGTCTATAAAAATAAAAAATTAGATGGGCGTGGTTGCACTCCAACCTGACAACAGAGTGAGACCCTGTCTATATATATACACATACATGTATGAGCCAGTGCGCCTGGCCTATATTTTTAATAATATGTGTTATTAAATTTGAGGAGAAAAGTAAAAATAAGAAAACAAAAAAGAAGCATAAAAAAGATATATGATATATGTAACATTATTTTAACAAATTTAATTTTTTTTTCTTTTGAGACAGGGTCTCTCTCTCTTACCCAGGCTGCAGTACAGTGGCATAATCTCAGCTCACTGGAGCCTTGATCTTCATGGGCTCAAGCAATCATTCCACTAAAAATCCTGGCTAATTTTTTTTGAACTTTCTGTAGAGATAAGTTTTCACTGTATTGCCCAGGCTGGTCTCCAACTCCTGGGCTCAAGTTATCCTCCTGCCTTGGCCTCCCAAAGTGCTGGGATTATAGGCATGAACCACTGCATCTGGCCTGTATTTTTAATAATATATATTATAAAAGGATAATGAAAAGGATATGGTTGAATCAGTATAGCACCTTAAGTTTCTTTGTCCTACCTTGAATCTCTTTTTTGAGATTCTCTTTTCTGAATCTCTTTTCTCAGAAAAGAGATTCAAGGTAGGACAAAAAGCTCTGGAGAGTCTTCCCTCATTATCTTTAATCCAAAGGGCTCAGATACCTCTATTGCTATGTGCTCTGGCACTGCAGGGAAGTTCCAGTCCACCTGCTCTACACCAGTTGGGCCCAGGGAGTCTCGGTCTGGGCTTGATTGTTGGTCAGTGGATTGCACTTTTCTGAAGCAATACAAAATAGAGACAGATCACAGGCTTTGGGCCAGAGACACCTGAGTTTAGATTGTGATTCTGTATCTTACTCACATTTGATGTTAAGTAAGTTGTCTAATTTCTCTGCCTTCCTTTCCTTGTGTATAGAACAATGATCACAGTAGAGCTTTGTGGAATGAAGGAATTAATGTATGTCAAGTGCACAGTAGGTACTCAACCAATTGAAACAGCCATGACAGTAACAATAACTATGATAATAAAGATATGAATGTACCCAGCATTATGTTTGGTAGGTGACTACTTTGTACACACACATGCATGCACATACATATACATTTGCATGCACACATACAACCAATGTCAGCCTCCCTCTTCACTCCCCAAAATGGATTTTGGATTTGAAGAGGCAGCATTTGGGCCAATATTATCTCTCTCCAATTAATGCTGACTGTCATGGCATTTTAAGACCAATCCCCGGCCAGGCACGGGGTGGCTCACATCTGTAATCTCAGCACTTTGGGAGGCCGAGGCAGGCAGATCACTTGAAGCCAGGAGTTTGAGACCAGCCTGGCCAACATGGTAAAACCCCATCTCTACTAAAAATGAAAAAAAAAAAAAAATTAGCTGGGCATTACAGGCATGTGCCACCATGCCCAGCTAATGAAAACTACAAAAAATTAGCTGGGCATACAAAATAATTGGAAGGATGAAAGAGGGCTGAATTTAAAATTTCAGACCTTGAGGCCGGGCACGGTGGCTCAAGCCTGTAATCCCAGCACTTTGGGAGGCCGAG